CTACATAGGTTGTACAGAGGACTTATATTTGAATATTTCATCAAATACTTTGCATGCAAATCTTAATCTTCAAAGACCACTCTCAAATACATGAATCATCATCTTAATAAAAGTTTATCTTCAAATAATCATCAATAATATCAAGCTAAAATCATTAATTTCACCCAGAAACCAATATTTGAACCAAAACCTCAAGAAACTCATTTTTAAGAGTCTACAACCAATATGCATGATAAACCCCATCAAAAATCTGAATCTCAAGTAGGATTTCAATATCTTAATCTCTGAAATCTTAGTTTCTAACATAAGAAAGAAGTTACCTCAAAGAAAAACGTGTTCCCAAGTGAATAGAAGCTCAAAACCTTGGTGGTTATTTTTTGTTCTAGGTTGAAATGGGCTGGTTGAGTTTTTAGCTCATTCTCTCTTAAAAACCTAGGTTTGATTCTGAGTTTTGGGTGAGAAAATGAGTGAGAAGAGAAGAAAATGCTATGGTCAGAGTTCTAGGTTTTTTTTTTCTGAAATAGACCCAAAAATGAAGTCTAAACATGATAGAAACTAAGTAAAAATAAAGTGACCTTATAGTGGGACAAGTGTTTAGGTTTTTCTAAGCCTCTAACATTGTCCTAACCTCATAAAATCAGCTCTAAAGTCTATATTTTTCTTCTTCAATTAGGTGCCTAAAGTTCACTCAATTTGCTAACATAGCCTTCTCTCACAAAAACTCAAAATAGCAACTAAGTCCTCAACACATTTACATAAAAACATATAATAAAAACATGAAATAATTATTCATCATTAAATCAATCATAATAGAGGTAAAATATCATATCAAATAATCATAATAAATATCATTTTTTTATTCATAAGTTTAGCACACTGAGTTCCTACATCGAGCTAGTTGCACTGCACATTAAAACTAAAAACTCGATTAGCGAAGCTATAAGTTTAATAAAATCATATGATAGCTATAATAATAAAATATAATGCCAACAAATAACTTTAAGGTAAATGATAAATGTGATGCATGATTTTAATTTACTAAATTTATTTATTATTAGCTTAAGGCTTAATTAAATCTCAGGTATTGCACTTTATATACGACGTGGTATTACCATGGCGAAGACGATGTTGGGACCAATTCAATAAATGAATCAGTTGACGAGATGGGATGGGCAAAAAATGAGGATTTTGTCAGGCAAAATCGTCCTAAAAACTTGAGGAGAAAAGAGCAATGGGGACCTTGCTATAATCGTTTTACGTCCCCTACTTTTCAGGTTTATTTTTGATTACTTGGTTCATTTAATTATTAAGTATGCTACTAATTCATGTATGATCATTACTAGAAAAAATCTGCTACAAATCAACAAAACCGTGGCAGTCAAAAGTGGTCTAGCTTCCATGGTAGAAAGTCATACTCTCAGTATTGTTTCGATAAGGTAATATTAATTTGCATACTTGTTAAGTTTTTTTCACTTTGGCTTAATAATTATTCTAACACGTTCAACTTGATTAGGAAAATCCCGAGACCCATAAGCTAGGATCATTAATTGACAATTAGAGTGAATTGCAACGTCATGGGCAGAATTTTATCAACCCGGACGCGGAACAGACATTTGTAAGTAAATTTTAAAGTTATTTTTTTCATATTTAACATAACATATTATATTATTTTTATTCATTTTTATTTCCTTTACCTTTGCAGGCTCAAATGGAGGGGGAAAGAACCACGCAGATGACACAGTCTACTGGCGAAGGTTCATCCACGCCGGTCACTGAGTAGGGGATTATGTCCCAAGTCTTGGGCAAGCACAGAGGACACACTAAGAGAGTGAGACCGACATTGCCACGGAAGAATCGTTCAAGCGCTTCCACCTCATCATCTGCTTCGCAATCGGACGGGTCGTCGTCGATTAATTTGTCCCGACATGTCCAAACATGGCTGAACAACATCTATATCGAGCAATGCAAAGTGTTCGACAACCAACAGATGATAATAGAAGCCATGCGCACGATGAATCCTAACATTAACTTCTTGCCACTTAATCGTCTTGAACCGTGGGTTCATCCACCACCGCCGCAAGAGGGAAACGAAGAAGACGAGCATGAGGACAATGATGCGGATAATTTAGGAGATTAAAATATATGTTTTTATTTTTCTTATTATCAATATTTTTTGTATGGATTGATTAATTTACTTTTTAAGACTTATTTTATTATTGTGTTGACTTTTTTATATGAATATTTTATTAGCAAATATCAATTTTATTGATTTATTTTATTATTAAATTTTCTTCTAATTTATAGTAATAATTAATATTATTAGGAAATTAGGAAAAAAAAAAAAGAAAACATTCTTTGCGACGACAAATCTGAAATAAGTCGTCGCAAGTAGTCTAAATCACTAGCGACGACATCTAACACTTTTGCGACGACATATATCGTAGTAAATATAACTGAACACGTCGTCATCAACGACATGTTCGACGGAACATTCTTGACGATTTATTCACGACGACAGTTGTTGCTAATGTATTAGCGACGATATCTCAAAACTTTGTCATCGCAAATATATTATTTGTGTCTAATTTTTTGCGACGACAAGTTGTTGCAAATATAATATTACTGATGACAGCGTACTCTTTTGCGACGACATTCAATCGTTGCAAATAAGTTTTTTTGTTGTAGTGTGTGTATTCCAAAGAGATAAATCAAAATTACTCCTTGCTTTGAGATCAGGCGTGAGCTAGGCAATCATATAATATCGTCAAGAAACTCTTAGGAATAAATGTCAAATGAGTCGATCATGTACCTCCAAAATAATAGAATCCTTAATTTGCAATACAACTCTTTGTTGATGCGTCCAAAATAAAATTGCTCTTTTGGTTCTATCCGCATCTTGATTTCTCTCCATGCTTAGTTGTCCAAATTGTATAAACTTGAGCACTAATAAGATCTCTAAACCATGATCCAGAAATCCTAATGACTAGTTTGTAAACTTTAGCGCCGATGGGATCGTAACGAAATCCAACGTACCCTGAATAGGCCGTTAGACAATGTGCTTGGAAGAAGCTTGTATTCCATAGTTTCTCAAAATTTCGAAACACGTTATATTCAAAATAGTGGTGACATGAAATCTTCAATGACATGATTAATTAGATGTTCTTCGTCGTCTTCATCGTTGTGGATAGAGAGAAACCCTTGTGCTAATCTTTTTATTGTCATCTTTGAGGCATTTGAAAACAAAAGACGAGGTGTTCTAATTGTTCCTGTTGAGGAGATGTTTGTTCACTAATGTTTGGTCTTCCGTCTTTGACAAGCGTATTTATGAGAACGTACCACGGTTTTTCAACATATTTCGACCGTAGTAAAGACTCGCGATGTTTGTTAACAAAACGTTACCATGTTTCTGCGTCAAATAAAATTGAAATTTAAGGTAGTATTCATCAATGGAAAAGTAGTGAAAATATATAGTTAATCCGCCAACTGATCTGCAGGAGCTTTAGAGAAGCAAATAATTTCATATATAACCCTTAATAATTAGAATTGGTCTTTAAAATTGAACCCAATCCAGTAAGACAATAAAACGAAGAAGGACCAAAAAAAAAAAAAAAAACACCAAGCGCTGGTACAAACAACAATGATCTTACCATATTAGCACGTTGAAGCTCAGCCATTGTGACTTGTGTTGTTTTAATGGAGACGGTTTAATTTTACGTCTTAATTAGTGTTTAACTAATCACATTATAGCATGCCATTTAATATATCTATATATAAAATAAGAAAAAGCTAGTTAAAGAATATTTTAATTTTTTTAAATGATGTAGCATAATCTGATTGATTAGACATCATTTAAGACACTAAAATTAGACAGTGATCGGAATCCTTTTATTTACTTATTGGTGAATATTATTGTTTTAACCGTGTGATATTATTGAGACCGTTGTAATAAATTAGATAGTTAATTAACAAAATTTAGGCAGTTAATGTGATTGAATTATTATCACGTCGCGTCATTAAAGTCTATATTTGATGAGTAACCACCAAAGAAACCTAACCGTTAAAAACTCATCCACATATATATATATATATATATATTGAAATTCTAGTTTCCCTAAATCTCCAAATTGAAAACCCTAATTTTTGCTGAACACCCAAATTGAAAAACCTAATTTTCTCTAAATCACAATGGAGCTACGAGGCACCACCACAATAGTTAGTTGCACAATGGGTATCCTAAGAGCTCCTGACGACGGTGTTGCAAGGCCAAGATCATAAAGGGCCTCATAAGCCGAAATCAGAAAACCCGTGATATTGGTGTTGGAGTCTAGAGGAGTGTAATTGAAGATCGCGCGCGACTGCAAAGAAAGCTCCCAAAGAAGATCCATCGACTGCGACGACTTGCGTCGATGACTTCGAGCTATCAGTCGTACCGATGACAGAGGGAGAAAGTTTTTTTATGTTGTCTGTTATTGTTTTTACCAAGGAGATTGTCTGCTAGGGCTTCAAAATATTACCCATTTATTAATCTAGGGGTATTTTTGGGTTTTAGTTCGAGGTAAATTTAGATTTACACTAAAATTGCTATTTACTAATTTGCTAAACTTCCTACCACTATTTGTTGTTTCCTCACTAAATTGGCATACTTTCTTCTTTCTTCCTTAAATATTAACTTAAAAGGCTCAAAATTCTAAAAGAAGAGCACAAAACTAAATAAGATGGTCAAGAGTTTGTGGAATGTTTAACACCTAGGCAAATGTACCAAACACTAACATGTAGGCAATCGACAAATCATCATGTGATTATAAAGGCTTGTTCTTTTGAGTGAAAAACTCAAAAAAAAAAAAGACAACTCAAATTACAACTTTATTCGAATTCGTAGTCTTTTAAGTGTCATTTCTTATAAGTTAACGGAATAACTAGCCATATGTAGTAACACAATTTAAATAATAGACTTGCAAAGATTTGCCAAGATATTTAGTAAAATCCCATGCCTTGAGAAGTGCAGTAAGAGAACCAACTTCTTTACTATAAGAAAAAGAGAAATAGAGAGCAGAGACAAATAAATGAGAAAAGGAAATAAAAAAAATTTTAAAAAAAATAAAAAAAGGAAATAGTCCACTAACCCAAATTAGCACACATGTTCCTACGTTAAACAGAGCAACAGATAAATATGTAGAATACAACCTCGCGGGACAGGGCAGCAGCCGGTGAAGGTCTCTTCAGACCAACACATGATACATTAATTATTAATCAAGACCGCGAAATGCCTCTGATTGGCCACTTTTAAACTCACTACGAGACCCTGAAAAACCAGGAGGGTGATTTTAAGATTAGTAGCTGTTTTGCCATAACTGTTGGGACTGCTTAGAAGGTTGGCCCTGTGAGCTGCCAAGAGAAGCATCCCTTGAGTTTTGTTGCTGGTGTTCCAGGGACATCCCTGACTGAGAATGGTAGAAGTTCGGGTAACCGAGAGCCCCAAATTGCTGAGAAGGTTGCTGTCCTTGCCTGAATCCAGCGTGCTGTTGGTTTTGCCCCTGGAAGCCATAGTATGTATTTGGCAGCGCTCGGGAGCCAGGTCCATGAACCCACATGGCTGAGTTCTCGTTCTGGAAAAACAACAAGAGAAGTCTCATATTTGAGTCTCAAGAGGAGAAGAAAAGGAAAACATGATGAACTTGTTGGTCAAACAAACAAACCAAAGTCATGCATTTGATTTCATGAGTCCTTGAAGCTAAGAATTACCTGCTGAAGTGACATTAAATGGTTGGCATCCTTGTACTGAGAACTTAGGACATCGTCATAGCTGAGGGTTGTGCCGCTAGGTGCTGTGGGAGGATTAACAGGGAAGTTTCCTCCAGGAATGCTGGTTGAACTCCCAAACCCATATCCCGAAGCAATAGCAGCCGACTGAGGCAAGCTGCTAACAGAGACGCTATTTTTGTATTGTGGTAGCACAGCAGCCAAAGACTGATGGTAAGTGCTGTTACCAGCAAATGCTTGCTGGAATGCTGATGGCATATATGTGTAGTTCTGAGGCACGAAAGGATAACTGATCATGTTGGCAAAATGTCCCAAAGGAAGAGTAGGTTGGGAATATGGGTGCACAAGATGTTGTGGAAGGGCAGGTCCTGTAGCAACGTTAGCACTGGGTAAGGTCTGTTGAGTTGGCTGCGGTGTAGAAATACTAGTTGCTCTCAAAGCCTGAAAACAAGAACAGATTAACAAAAGAATCATAAACATTGAACATCCAGTTTTACATGCATGTCATTTCCCAATCCTTTTTGTACGTTGTTTTTTCTCCTCAAAATTTCTAAATGAATACGCTGTATAATGGTTTTTCATAAAATTGCAGCCTACATATTCACATATATTGGTTATAAATTGGATGAGCATCAAACATCCCCCAAAAGAAGAATTGATTCAAGAAATCCCGTGAAAACTAGAGTAGAGAGGGCACCTCTGGCATGGACATGATGGGACCACTTATAGAAGAAGTCGCGTTGCTATATTTAGTTTGCATCGATTGTGTAATAGGGAAGGGTGAGTAGGGAAGATCCTCTCTCACAGTCTGAACAGTTGAAGCCAGTAAAGTGTTGGGTAATGAATTTGTGTATGCATGCTGTAATGAGAATTCGCAGCGTGAGACAATATCAAATTTAACTAATACAACATTTGGTCCAGCTATACTTCATACAAAACAAATTTCCACGTACAGATTCGACCAAAAACAACAATAGCAATAATGTTGAACACAAACTGGAGATACGATAAAGAAATTAAAACACCAATAATGGAAAGTAACAACATATCCTATAGAGGCATATTGAGGACAGGCTCAACACCATGACCCCTTAAAATCTTGAAGATGGTATTCTCTGCTTTTCTTTACTGCGGTCAGTACCTTTTGACAAATTCTCAGCTCGACTCATACATATCCTACTCTATCTAACATTTCATGCATATCTATGTCCGCGCACAGAGGAAGCAGCTCCATTTAATATGATCATAAGAATAAACACAATTGTAACGTAAAACAAGTTAGAAACAGAACAACGCTCAAGCTTATTGTTAAGAAGGTCCTTTCTGTGGATTGCAGCATCGTATCATCAAATAAACTTTTTAGTTCAAAAACTTCACTTTTCTTTTTCCAGCTTTACCCTAGTTTTATAATTTCAAACTACGTCAATTAATGTTAATGGTTAGATTATGTTGTGTTCCAATAGTTTAAATTCAATATTTTGAGCTGGGTGAGCCCTGCCCCTGGAGAATGAGTTTCTCATCCAAAGGGCATAAATCTCTGGCTTTGTACCATATCGACTGACATTTTAAAGCAGAGAAAGATCATCACAAATGATCTCATTAATAAACTCATTAAAGTCTGTAATTTAAGAATTAAAAGTATTAGACCAACAACCAAAATAAGTGTGCTTAATAAATAATATTACCATGACACTAGAGAAAGGAGCAAGATTCTGCATCTCTGAGCTTGTCTGTGGATGACTAAATTGTGCATTCAACTGTTGAGAGCTTTCATAAGAAAATCCAGGTGCAGAAGAAGGGAAAGAAAAAGAGTACTGATTCCCTTGATCAGCTTCAGCAGTTTCCTGTTTCAAGGCCTCTTCTTGTGAAACTGAAGGAGAATCATACTCCCCAGCACTTGCACCTGTTCTATGAATCAAATTTCCATCCGAGGTAGCTCTGAGATGCTCATCCCCATAAAATTCAGGATTTCTGCAAAAGAAATAATGTGTGTTTGGAACCGTTTTTGAAAATGGTTTTCACGTATTTTGAGAAACAAAAAATGAAAATGAAAACGAAACGACGTTTGTTTAGCAAATGTTTTGAAAACGAAAACAGTGAGAATGGTTTTTGTGAACGAATTAGAAAATGGTTGAAAGTTGTTTTCACTTTTCTGTTTGCATTTTTTAGTACTTATCAACAATATTATAATATATTAATTAATAAACACGATTTCACTTTTTTATTATACTCAAAACAATCTCTTAAAAAACAAACCAAACGCAATTTCAGAATCGGTCCCAAAATGATTCTCAAAACAATCTCATTTTTACCTTTTATTGAAAACAAAATCATTTTGAAACCAATTCTAGACGCACCCATTAATATCTTTAGAATACGTAACCAACCACCCATCAGTAAATGAGAAACACCAAAGTATGAACACGTAATACCTAGTATCAGACTGCCCAATTGTAGAGACATCCACTGATGCAGGTGTCTCCTCCAAGTTACTTTTCATGGACCTGGACGCTAATGCCCCCGAACCGGAAAGAGCAGCATTAGTGCCGGATCCAAAACTTCCAAAACTCAGGTGCAGACAGTCTGGCGTGTGCAGTTGTAGATGATTTGGAATTACAACAGCAGGGATATCCTCTTCAGGTTGTGCTCCCCGATCATCCTTTTGTAAACTAAGTTGCTGTAAGTTTGCAGCTACTGATGAAGCACTCTCTTCAGCTGGGAATTCATAGTTTTGGTGGACAAATGAAGATTCACATCTTAGAGATCAACATAAAGTCATTTCACAAAAAAGGGAAAAAAACATTCACATCAATGCTTCACCCAGTGGGACAACAACTTTTATTTTCTACCTTCATATGCAGGTTCCAGTATTTCCCATTAAAAAATAAGCGTACAAAAATTATCTGTGTTATATAAATAATGGACAGATATTAAATGGTCAATGGTCAACGCTCAACAGAAAAATCACAAGAAGTTTGCATGTAACAACAATAATAAGAAGCTGGAAGAAAATGTGAAGTATCATAGTTACCTGTTTCATGCTCATAGGCATGCCCATGTGCCTGGTAGGAAGACATGTCCTTATATAGGTTATCATCAAAAACGGATGCACCTCCAGAATCATCCTCTTGTATATTTCGACCAGATACAGAAGCATGCCCAATATGATTGACGTTAGGTGACTCATCAGGACCATTTTCAACTACTTGAACATCATCTAATTGGGATTTTAAATGCTGATTGGCTCCATCCAAGGGCAAGGTAGACGAATTTGCATACAACTCAGAGTCTGCAGATGCCTCCATGACAGAGGACAAACTAGCAGCTGGTGGCTGCTCAATCGAAGGCCATTCATCATGAGAAGCAAAGTCTTCACTTGAAATGACCCCTCGCTCACTGTGTAACTCTAACTCCGTAGATCCATGATCTTGGGACAAATGCAAATTGTGATGAGATACCGGAGGTACATGGACATTTTGATGATTGACACTGTGGATAGGTAGGTTTGGCGTGGTAGAAAACTTGCTATGTGGTCTTCCCATCTTAACAATATCAGCCATTGAAACTTGACCAGGGACACCCAGCCAAGCAGATTGAAATCCAGATGAAGGCTGTGAAGATGAAGATATTACATCCCCAGTGCCTACCGTCCATGCCTTACTTTCTGTAAAGACAGGATCACTGCAACAAATTTTACACAAAAAATGAGAAGCGCTAAACTCCCAAAAAACAGGTAATCAACACCAGAAAATACATCATCTCATGCTAGCAAAAAACAATAATACATAAAGACCAATGCCACCACAAGATAAACTAGAGCAACACGGGTGTCAGCTAGCAAAGTGTCGCAAACTCTTTTCTTTCTCACCGACTGAAAATCAATTGCAACTCTCATAACAAAGTAAATGTAAATGGGCCGACATGATCCAAATGCAATTTAATCCTTAGCTGAAACAACGGCCGAAGATAAGACAAAAAGATATCATAACAATCGCGTGCACTGAGCCAGAAAGCATGTGAATGCCATTGGAAAAACTATGCAGACAATCAAAAAGGTAACGCAACCTAATAATAACAAATAGAAAACTCCTAGAGTTTTCAGCTCCTTAACCACTAGAAACAATATTCACAGAAGACACAAGTACAAACTCTAACACAGTACGCAAAGAAACCAATAAAAAAGTCAGATCACTTATTCACTTTACCCACTCTTCAATTGAAAGAGAGAGGGAGAGAGAGAGAGAGAGAGAGAGAGAGAGAGAATTTAAGGAGTCTATTATATTTCATCCTATCAGTCATCACCTTTGGGGTGGAGGCCGTCGACTCGTGCTATTTCCCCCCACAGCAGATGCAGAAGTTGAAGATCCTGCATAAGCATGTGTTCCATTTTCCTTCTTGTACGCAGATTTACCATGAAAAGCACCAGATTCTGACAAAAGAGCTCAGAGGTTAGTCTATGTTTATCACCTCCAATTAAATTTCACACTAATTAAACCAAATTGCCTTGCAGTAGCCCCATACCATTAGAGCTGAACTGGTTTGGACCCCCACGTCCAGCATAACGATCCCCACTACCCTTACTACCACGATTTGTATAGTTATTAGTACCACCACGAGGTCTCAAATCTGTTGTATCCTTGCTCTGTAGCAATGAGAGAGACAAGTAAAAAAGATCAGAAGCAGTACATAATTAGAAATCACAGAAAAACACCAGGGAACAAATGCATGCTAATAAACTGATCATCATTTTCAGTGTATCCAAAAAACAAGCATCTTGATCATCTAACCAGTAAATACCCAAGTGAACCACATTCACACAATAAGTGGATGAAAGACAGACACATAGAGCATGTCATCCGTAAATCAGAAAGCTGAAAGCCCAAGCAACAAACCCACCCAAAGGTATAACAGAAAAAGGAGAAAACAATATCATACATAAACGGTGAATTGTCAATAAAGCGAATTCAATAACTATACAAAGCATATGATTTATAGCTGTTGTTAGGTAAATAACCAAATTGAACTTGAAAGTAAAATATAGCGCATTTTCAATACACACGCACCTCTTTTTTCTTTTCTCGTTTGCTCTTCACTTCATGAAAAGGATCTACAAAAGTTATAAAACTTTACATTAGAAGTCACTTTCAACAAGAATAAAAAGTAAATAGTATCTCAGTGATTCAAGTTTGATACCCATATCAATGAGATGCAAACCAGGATCCCATCGGACAGTTTCAAAAGTAACTTGTTTCAAGAACTAATTATTCAGCAGGACCATAAAAATTTATAAAATTTCAATTCATTCAGTATTGCAAGTAAAATAAAATCCCATAAAGAAGCTACGTTGATCAAAAAAGTTACAAACATACGTATAATCAATAATGTTTTTGTGTGTACATACACGTTTTAGGCACATACATGTCTAATGCAAATAATAGTACACAGAGAAAAGAGAAGGGGCAAGGGGAGGAAAAGTGAACATTCAAGAGCACACTGACATAGCTGATCAAATTTTCAACAAAAAGAGAGAACGAAAGAAATAGCAAAAAGCTTAATCAACAAAAAGCAAAACAATACTATTTCTAGACAGATGAACAGAGTTTCTAGCACAAAAACAGGTCAAAAGAAACACGCCCAAAAAGAAAAAACACATGTTTCGTCCAAATATATAATAAGAGGAAACAATTTCAATCATCTAGTCAGGGATTTTCACCAATCTCTTAAACCCTAAAATAGGAAAAACAAACCTTTACGACCAAAAAACAAATCCCTCACATTCTTTTATCCAAACCAAGCAACCCACAAAAACAAATTACATAAACCTCCAAACCCTAGAAACCAAAGTTCCATCAGAATATATATATATATATATTTTCCCCAATCTCTATAACCCTAAAATAAAAGGGGAAAAAAACAGAAAGAAAAAAATCATCCACCGTCTTTTTAATCACTAATCAAAACGAGCGAAAACACAAAACCAAAACTCCATAGATAAACTTCGGAAACCTAAAAACCAAATCAAACCAAAAGAGAAAACAAAAACGAAACTTTGGTCGATGAGAGAGACAGACCTTGGGTGAGGAGGCGATTAACGGTCTCGTTAGGGTCCATGTTACAGTCCTTGAGCATGGCGTAGATCTCCTGCTCCGTACAGTTATTGACAATCTCCTTCAAGCTCTGAACAATTTTCCTCGACCCAGACGGAATCCCCGATATTCCATTACTCCCCTTCCCATTGATTCCTCCTCCTCCTTTGCCGCTGCTCATCTCTCTCTCTCTTTCTCTCTCTAAAACTCTCTCTCTCTCTAGAAGAAAAGCCTCAGATCTAGCAAGTCGCCTTCTGGTTTTGGTTTCTCCTGGGGTTTCGGTTCGTTTACGCCGCGACCAGAAGAAGAAGGCGAAGGAAAAAGCGAAGGGCAAACAAAAGGGAAAGAAAGAAGAAGTAAGACACAAAGTACTGGATAAAGTATCTGAGTAAGCTCTCTCTCTAAAAACTCTACCCTCTCTTTCTTTCTCTCTCTATGCACCGAGAAACCTCTCTCTTTTTCTCTCTCTTTCTCTTTCTTTTCGTCGCAGTCTGAGGATGCGTTTGATTGGGTGAAAAGAAAAAACAAATAGAATGAAAAAAAATCTTAATGTTTAGTTAAATTTATAAAAAATAAATAATAATATAGATAAATCATAGAAAAATAGTCATTTTAAATTTTTTTCTTTATTTTTTTTATAATTATCCTTTAATTTTATAATATATTATAAAATTATTATATTTTATAATATGCAATATAATATAATATAATATGATTAATAATAATATAGTTATAAATTCTAATATATTTATTTAATATCTTATAATAATATATTATATATTATGATGTAATTATATCTTATAATCTAATATATAATAATATTAAAATATAATATAATTGTAATATTATAACAAATAATATCATGATATATTAATAATTGTGATATTATTATTTTATCATATAATATGATCTTATTAATTATATTATATTAGTATAATTATGTTTATTATATTAATAAAAATATAATAATTAATATAATTAAATATTATTATAATTTTATAATTTTAATATTATTATCAATTATAGTGTAGATTAAATAATGTATTAATTATAATATATTCATTTAATATAATATAATAATATTATATTATATTACAATTATATATATTAGCTTCCATCCGGCACTACTTCTAATGCCTGACCAGTCCAAAAATGAACTACAACCGTTGGATATCAGTTTGATGGCCCTGATTTAAAGAGAAAAGTTACTTGGTTTCTGGTGAAAGGGAGAGGTAGTCTAACATGATGTAATGACTGAGAAAATTTTAGACTTTAAATAATACAATTTATGTACTTAAGTTAAAAATTTTCTTAGAAAATATTATATTATATTTTGTGACTGAAGTATTTATGGAATCAATATCAATATTCCTAAATTTTGTAGCAGATTTCATGCTAAGTTCATGTTTTACGATCAAATAGATTCAATCGATAAATTCTCGCAATAATTTTAAGGCGGAAGAATTTTCAGTACATATACAGTTTGAGAATCTTAATTCCAAGAATCTCCAAGCACAATACGATGTTAGCAGCGTACAAAAAATCATTAATTGCCGAACAGTTAGGTTGAAGTCACGACAAAAATACTTATAGTAAAATGATACAATGTGAGCTTGGGAGTTGACACAGTCGGTAACAATGTCATTCTTAGGATATAATGCAGAAAATTTAAGTTTAGAATTTGTTTAGTCTATAATAAATTTCAAGACTTGAAACAGTTCAAAATATTACGCGAGTACGAATTTAATGTGTTATCGAAGTAGTTGGGGATTAATATTGAACTGTAAATAAGAAGTAGAAGAGGAACAGTCAGAAACTGAAACTTTTTGTCGGCTATATTACTTCCTTACAGTCAGTATAATTTTTATCACTTTCAAGGAAAAGTTAAGAGATGAGACAAAAGTACAATAGTGGGTTAAGTTTGGTTAGATAAGTGTGATATGATAGTGGTTGGTGAAGAGAAATTATGGCATACTTACCATTTCTTTTCTCCCACCTAGACCGGCCATGCTTAAGGAATTTGAACCCAAAAATTTAGTTGATTAAGGGAGTTGATTTGGTATTAAAAATGATTACCAACTTATTGTTGGGAATAATGTCCTAGAAACATGAGATGTAATAGGATATTTATTATTTAATTAATAAAAGAGTTTATTCATCATTTTATGTGCTTATATTTATGAATATCAAATAAAAATTCCATGATTATTTATGTAACCTTAAACATAGTATATAAGTGTTATATACAAGATGATAGTGTTTAAGGATAATAATCAAAAACATTGTTCATAATGAATTTAATTAAAGTTCAGAATCTTTAATTAAAACATTATTAATACATGTCATTCCCATTTAGAATGGAACGGTGTTATCTGCACTGTTAATATGGTGAGATATTGAATGAGTGTATTACGCATAATAAGATTATGTGGAATATGGACACAGACACAAAATGAATTTCTAATAATTTTCGTTAAGCATAGAAATTCTAATTGAGTCTACCGATGGTCATATATAGAATGATCTTAATCCTGAGTTCTTAACAAACTCCTATTTATGGATATATGTCTTTTGATTTACTCGGTACGGATTTCAAGACCCTGAATCTCATTCCTTGTATTTTGGAGACATGATGAAATAAGTAGCTGGGAATGTTATTATACGATATGGAATCCATTCTTTTTTGAGAAATAAGTAGATAAATAATTCTCTTGAGTGTTGATTCGGTACTTGGATTAGTAAGAGTGCTATGGTTCATGAATGTGTTTTATGAATCACTATCCATTAGAGAATCAATGGTACTCAAGGATGCATATATAATTAGAGAGGTTAACGGATTCTACCTGACTCTAATTATGAATTATTTATGGAGGATTGAAATATATGCAATGGCTATATCAAATTGACACTTCATAGTTTAGAAGTAATTAATGTCTATAATTTCGAGAGTGCAATTCCAAGTTTATAGTGGAGTAACTATTGAAATTAATAGAATTAATTAATTAATTAAAGTGTTTAATTAATTATTAAGTTTATTGGAGCTCAGGATTATAGGTCCATAAGTTCCCACGTCGTCCTTGTAATTCTACTAGACACAAAAGGCAAAATGGGAATTTTAGAATTACGGAATTTTAATATTAAATACTCAAAAAATAATTAATTGAGAATTAATTATTATTTAAATAATGTGATTATTTAAATTTGAATTTGAATTGTGAACATAATTTAAATTTATCCTTTTAAACTTATTTGATAAGTTGTTCAATTTAGAAAATCCCAAGGATGGCCGGCCACAATAGGATAATGTAAAGGAGGATTTTTTTTTCCAAATTCAAATAGGAGATAGAGATTTGATTCCTTTTTGAAGTTTGACTTCTACTCTTTAAATATGAGAATGATAGAAAATTGTGGACACAATTTTTGAAATAATTATTCAGCCCTAAAAGTTGGTGGCCGAAATTCTCATATAGGAAAAAAAGAGGAAAATTTTTTCTCCCAAAAAATTCCACATCGTGCATGCGTTGGTGTTTGTGAAAATTCGAGTGTTTCAGAAACATGTTTTGTCTCACGTGTGCCCACACACACGTCTACGTGGAATCAAGGAATTGACGTGGAAGACTTTGGTTTTCTAAACACAAAGCTTAGAGCAAGGACTGTTCGTGGACAAAGAACTCAAGTTATCATCCGAGTCGGCTTCCAGGTATTTTTCCAGATTGAGTTCTTGATATATAAATTAATGCGATTAATTTATTCGTGCATAAATTAATATAATCTACAGAGTATCTCAAAAGTTTTATAAAAATTTTTGTTATACACGATCCGCCTTTCCCCACGCTTCCGCAGCCGAATTCGATTCAGCAACCAACACTTGTCTATAAATGAAACCATCATAAGCTAAGCCTCACTTTTACTCTATTCTTCTTTCTTCTTCACACCAAAACCGGATTCACTACAACTCCAAGCCTCCAAATTTTTCTCCACCATTCCGCACCAAACCGACCTTTCCTCTAGTCCACATACACTCAAAAGTTTCCATATATCTCACCATAAATCTTAGCTTAAGTTGGAGGAGAAAAGGAGGATTTCAAAGGTTTTCAAGAGAAAGTTCTTCAAGGGTAATTTCTTGAACTTTTCTCCATTATTTTTCTAGCCAACTTTAAGCTTAAAATTATGGATGTAATTTGTGGTCCTTTGAGGCTATGGTTTGTAATAACGGTGTGTGAATTTTATGTTAGTTTATGTGTTTGAGATTAGTTTGATTAGTATTATGTGGTATGTTTATGCTTCGTATGAGTTTGTCTATTTTGGGTTAGAGGTAAAGTTTTTCCGGTTACTTTGAACGCGAAAATGAGGATACTAGAGCGAGATTTTTCAGTTATTCTAAATTCAAACTTATAGTTCTCAATGTTTTAAACGTTTTTCTATGACTGTGACAAAACTCAGTTTTAACTCTAAATGCTAGTTTTAAGCCATTTTCAAAAATGGCGCAATGCTGTCCAAAACAGCTTAAAAAAAAAAACTAGCAGCCACTATGGTAGCCAAATGAAGCCTTTAGAGGCCGAATCTCAGCTTTCTCGAAAACGATGATTTTAGATCCCAACAGGATGAATAATTCTCTTAAAGAACAGATTTTTAAAATCTGACTCTATGATATAGTAAAATGCAAATTTCAGAAACTACATAATTTTAACCAAACAAAACTAACACAGTTTTGGTTTTAACGAAAGTTTAGCAAAGAACCCAAGATGTGATTTCAGTAAAATACTATGGTTTTAGATATCGCTTTAACGAAAAACAATCATGAGGAAAGACTTCAAAAAAAAAAAAGTTTCTACAACATAGTTTCACAGTGGTTTACAAACTAACTGTAAAATTTTCACAAGTCGGTATTCGAAAGAGATTTTATAATGGGATTTTAGGACTTGTAACTAGATAAATGAGCAATCGGTTTTATACAAATCGAATGATAGTTTCTTTTAAAAACTTAATAGTTTTCAAGCAAAATATCTCGATGGGCACTTACGAGCACAATATGTTAGGTCCTTAGAATTACGAAGATTAGATATAGGTCTAACGCCCACATTAATTCAAGAGACCCCGCTTAAGTCTAAATTTTAATGGTCTAAGAGTTAGAACGTCGTTATTAAGTTTCTAGGCCGAATTGGACCTTAATATCATAACAAGTCTAATGAGCTAAATTATGGAGAATAAGTTACTAGATAGGGTAATTGATTTTCAATCTAGGCAAGTTACTAAATTTATCTTCTTTCGAATGCCTATTTTGAAATTGTTTCATATGTTATTTTACAGTTAATTTGTAAACCACCATGAAACTATGTTTTAGAAACTAATTTCTTGAAATCTTTCTTCATGACTGTTCTTCGTTAAAGCAATGTCTAAACCCATAGTATTTTACTAAAATCGCATCTTGGGTTCTTTGATAAATTTTTGTTAAAAATCAAAACTGTGTTAGTTTTGTTCGGTTAAAACTGTACAGTTACTGAAATCTGGATTTTACTATATCATATAGTCAGATTTTGAAAATATGTTCCATTTATAGATAAGTTGGTAATAATTTTTAACACCAAATCAACTCCCTTAATCAAATAAATTTTTTGGGTTCAAATCCCTTAAACATGGCCGGTCTAGGTGGGAGAAAAGAAATGGTAAGTATGTCATAATTTCTCTTTACCTACCACCATCACATCACATCTCATCCAACCAAAACTTAACTCACTCTTGTACTTTTGTCTCATCTCTTAAGTTTCCCTTGAAACTGATAAAAATTATACTGGCTGTAAGGAAGTACTTAGCCGGCAAAAAATTCTAGTTTCTGACGGTTCTTTTTCTACGGTTTATTTACAGTTCAATATTAATCCCCCAATATTTTGATATTACATTAAATTCTTACTCGCAAAATATTTTGAACTATTTCAAATCTTGAAACTAATTCTAGACTAAACAAATTCTAAATTTAACTTTTCTGCATTATATTCCAGGAATGACATTGCTACCGACAGTGTTAACCTAGTTGTCCGGCAATTAAAGATTTTTTCTTCTTTTAAAATGTCAGAGCGTTTTTTTTCGATATGCTGCTAACATTGTGTTGTGCTTGGAGATTCTTGAAATTAAGATTTTCAAACTATATATGTACTGAAAATTCTTCCGCCTTAAAGTACAGTGAGAATTTATCGATCGAATTTACTAAATCGTAAAACATGAACTTAGCATGAAATCTGCTACAGAATTTAGGAATACTGATGTTAATTCCACAAATCTTTTAGTCATAAAATATAACATAATATTTTCTAAGAAAATCATTGGCTTAAATACATAAATTATATTATTTAAAGTCTGAGATTTTCTCAGTCATTACAACCGTTGACACTAGAGTTGTCAGAATGTCACGTGCTATTATGGATAGTGTTGGAAAATGATTTGCCTTGCTCTTCCACCACTGTAAGATGTTCAGCTTGTCGTCATCGATTACAAAATTTGATTCAAAATATTTAACTAGATCGGTAGATGCTTGTGTTGATGACGATCCTAACGCTTTCTCCTCTAGGCCCCGAACTGCTTCTTGACTTCGAAGTTCCCTGTTCTTTTTGACCTAATATGTATTTTGCTTCATACAAACTAAATAATTTTACTAACATTTTCCTAGCTTCGGTAATAGTTAGTTGCATATTAATACCTAAATTTTCTACCGTAGCAGACATTAAAGATTCGTTCCCATCTAATTCGCATCTAGGATCTAAAATGGTTGCTACTGCATATAACATAGGACAATCGGCCCAATAAATTTTAAATTTAGCTTCCATTAGCTTAACTATGATTCCAAAAAGTTATGTATCCCGATAAATAAGAAAATGTTTCTGAAATATTAAATAGTTGATGCAAAACTAAATGTACAGTAAGATAATAAACTCAAGAAAGTAATTCAGTTGCATTATAGAAAACTTCTAAAAATTTTAAAAAGTACTCACCAATTTTCCAATTTGTATCGAAAATTAAATGCTCACCGTGCTTACTGTTCACATACGTTGTGATGATCTGTTGATACGGAAGTGCAGTCGTCAACATTAAGTAGGTGGAGTTTCACCTATGTCTCACATCAGTTGAAACCTTTCTTTGGCGCATCTGACTGTTCCTGTAATATTGTCAGAATTCTTGAAGCCGAGCTCTAGAACTAGATATGAAGGATAAAGATTCTCTAATATTTGTTAGATGAGAGGAAATATGTTCAATTCTTGCTTGTACTACTAAATTTATTATGTGACACGCACATCGTTGATGAAAAATTTTACAACCAAAAGGTGGTTTCAAGTTAAGTTTAAACATGTTAATTGCAGCCATGTTAGGTGATACATTATTAAAAGTAATAGTTAAAATTTTATCTTCTATCCCATAAAACCCAAAAATTTCCATTATTGTTTCAAAAATAGCATTGCATTATGAGGAAATAGACATAAACGAAAACCTATTATTCTCTTTTGTAAAACTCATTCCTTGTCGACATAATGCGCCGTGACGCATAAATATTCAGTTTTATTGCACCCCTTCCAAGATCAGAAGTACAAGATATAGTAGCATTAAAAGCCCTAAAATTATCAACTAGAGATTGTCTCATTGCATAAAATACTTTCATGCAATCAAAACGAGTTGTGTTTCTACTTACCCGTTTAAATTACGGGCAGAAAGTCATCTGTATGAATTCTTCAAACACTGCATCATCTGCAAAAGAAAGAGGTAATTCGGCACTAGCTAAAACTTTAGCTAGTGCCTCATGAGCACGTTGTGCATCGTATGTAAAATTTTACAACTCTTGTGATGTGAGTGATACTGTTTGGGAGTCCACACTCCCACCTTGGTGCCACGGTAGCCATACTTTCCAATGTTTATTCAGATGACCAGTACCCCCACTCTTTTTATTAGAAAAGTGTTTTTTATAATATTTACATACCATTCGAATTTCTATTTCACCTGTTTTTGGATTTGGTCGGGGCTCCTCTGTGAAATGCTGTCATGCAGGAGCCGTTCGCAGTTTTTTTCTCCTGCTACGTTCTCCAACTTCCTCGTTGTGCACTGAAGCATTATCAACCGGAATAGTTTCTAGTTCAGTGGGGTTGGAGTTGTGGGCCAACATTTCATCCTCGTAAAATGGCTCATCACCAAGCTCAGGGAGCATAGTAAAATCAAGGAAATTTGATCCGGCCATTTCTTAAAAAAAATATAAACTGTTGTTAATTTGTTCATTTATAAACAATAAACAATATAAATAAACTTGAGTAATATAATATTATGTATCAAAATTGATAAGTAGAATACCTTTTTTTCTGAAATTTCTTCAAATTGATTGAACTTTGTAAATAAAAGAGCAAGAAAATGAGTAATCGCAAGAGAAAAGCTTAGAATCAATATTAAATAGACAAGATGAGAGATAGAATGAGAGTGAGATGAAAAGTTGATAGTAAATTATTGTGGTGAATGTTGTGTGGGATTTAGGGGTTTTTTGAGCAATTTCTGACCAAGTGACCGTTGGGCCCATCGCGTGCCCAACGGTCACTTGGTCGCGTGCCTGGTGGGTTGAATACGGGCTTGGACTAGGCCGAACAAGGGCTGAATCCGTACTTGAGCCGAAACAGGGCTTGGGCCGGGCCGCAGACTTCAAAGGCTAGGGCCAGGCTTAGGCCGCGGGCTAAGAAGCCGCGGCATAGCCCTAGCCCATCTTACGTGTCGGGACGGCACGACCTGTAATAATACTATCACAGGCCGTGTCAAACCCAACACTGTTACGGGCTGAAAACGACCCAGTCCATTTGATAACTCTAAACTCTACTAAATAACGTGTTAAAAAGAGTAGACATAGACGGTCGGACCCATTTGACAATTCTAAACGCTACTAAATAACGCGCAGAAAGAGTATACGTTTCGCTTACGCCATAAATTAACATAAATTATCAAACACCCGCGAAACACGCATCAAAATCCCACCAAACTAACGTCTTAACCTCACTCCTCCTCACACTCACACACACTCACTCAGTCTTCGCCCAAAAAAAAAAAAAGAAGATGAGGTTGCCCTGCAACACTTCACCCCCACTCTTCCCAATCCCAATCCCACAATCTCCCACCTCTAATCCTCCATTCATCCCCAATTGGACCAAAAAAGCCCTAATTGGAGCCCTCTCCTTCGGCCTTCTCATCTCCTCCCCTTCTTCCCTCGCGCTCCATTCCCCATCTTCCCTTCAATTCCCGCCGGAGTACTGCCGAGAACAAGATTCCGAAGATAGGGCCGAGACCGGCTCCGATTCGGGCTTCACCAACGAGGGAGTTGTGGAGGAAGCTTGGGAAATCGTCAACGACAGTTTTCTCGACGCCGGTCGCCGCCGTTGGTCGCCGGAAACTTGGCAGGTGAACTGAAAATGAATTCTTTTTCTTTAGCTTGCTTGGATTGTTGAATTTTTGGTTTCCGAAAGTGAATTGTTGAAATTTGAATTGTTGCAGCGGAAGAAGGAGGACATAAGGAGTACTTCAATTCAGACAAGATCGAAGGCTCATGAGATTATTAAGCGTATGTTGGCCAGCTTGGGTGATCCTTACACTCGCTTCCTTTCTCCAGAGCAGGTAATTAGTTTTCTTTCACTTTCTATATATATCTTTATTTTTAGCGAATGAGACGAACGGTTTAGTCCAGAAATTTATGAGCCTCTTTTTGAGCCGAGCGTTAGGAAATGCGACGTTGGTTGAAATCGATATTATAGGGCACCGTTAGCAATAAGCACCGTCCACCAATAGAAGATGAGTCCAGCAACAATTCGGATGGGACTCACCTTCTATTGGTGGTGATGCCCCCAATCCTTCTTAAAAGATATAAATCAAAATCATTTTGGCTTTACTATTTCCTGAAGACTTGTTTGGTTGGACTATTTTCTTTTTTAACTTTCCTTCGAAATTTTTTTTGCATATGTTCCAAAAAGAATAGTCCCTAAATTTCCCAAGACGTGTTAATATTTATTTATTTTAAATTTCAAATATATATTTACATGTTTATCATACATACTGTTTGTTTCTTTTTACCTTTGTTTTTTTTTTTGTTTTTTTTGTTTTTTTATCTTTGTATCTGCAACATTGCTTGTGAGTAACATTCCTTATGTATACTGCCATTTTTACTTACAAGCTTTACAGTTCTTTTCTTTTTCATGGCTATCTTGCTTTCTTCTACATTGAAAGTTCTCCAAGATGGCGAGGTATGACTTGAGTGGTATTGGAATAAACATCAGGGAAGTTCCAGATGAAAATGGTAGTGTGAAACTGAAGGTACTAGGGCTTGTATTGGACGGTCCTGCCCATTCTGCAGGTGTGAGACAGGTAGCTTCAGAGCTAAAATATACCAGAATTTATCTGTTTTTTCTCTGTGGTTTGACATTCATTTTTTTTTTTTTTTTTTTATTTCTCCTGATGATTTGGGTTCCAAAGTTCTTGTGTTACAATATTTGATTTGCACAATGTTTGACTTGGTGCTTCTACAATTTATTGTTGTTTTTATTGCCCTTTTATTTCTTTTGGTTCTACAAGTTGTTAAATTTGGAGTTTCAATCACTTTTCTCACATTACAATGGAGATGGTTTACACCACTGAAATTCAATCTCCTTGAATTTTTCATGCCTCTCCTCTCCATTTTTTCGTTTGTTGTGAGCCCCCTAACACCATTCTTTTTTCCCTATGCACGATTACTTGTTTGGATCTGCTATTTGTTGTTGTTATTATTTTTTTCTTTTTTGGGTGGGTAAACTGTTTGTTGATTTTAGTGACTTGTGAAACAAATATTATTTATTTTGATATCATATTTCAACTAATTACTTGTTATACATAAATTAGTATGTCTAAGTGGTTAACACTCTGTTACTTTGGTTAGGGGGATGAAGTATTATCCGTTAATGGAATGGATGTGGCAGGAAAATCAGCATTTGAAGTGTTATCTTTGTTACAGGGCCCTAATGAAACATCTGTTACCCTGAAGGTTGTGATTCTTTTTGTCATAAATTTCTTGCTTTCTGTACAGAAAAGGTTGTCATTTTAACCAATTTTGTTCGGTGCATTTTTCTGTTACTCTTTTTTTTAGTATTTTGATTTAGATAAATATTGTTATTCTTAGGTCAAGCATGGGAATTGTGGGCCCATTCAATCAATAGAAGTTGAGAGACAAGTTGCTGCACGGACCCCTGTATTTTACCGGTTTGATAAAATGGAAAACAGTGGCGCGTCAGTTGGGTACATACGCTTAAAAGAGTTCAATGCATTGGCTAGAAAAGATTTGGTTATTGGTATAATTGAAATCAATGATTCTTGCACATTTTATCAGTTTGTTGAATTATCTTTGATGTAAATTTCCAAAGGAAAAACATGTTTTTTTCCTCCTAAAATGTTCTGGTTTCTAAACATCAGCTTACAGGGAAGGAATAATGGTATCCATGTAATCATGTATGCCCCCTTTCCCTTTGCAGTCTAGTTGAGAAACCGAACAATGTACATATATGAACTCTTGGATTGAAAAAATTAAATGTAAAATATACTTCGTAGGCAGACTCAACGAAGTAGGCCTTTTTTATTGCCTTGCACTTTGTAATCATGTGAACAACCCGAAATTAGTGACAATTTTCTCCTTTGTTATTTGTCTTCTGAATACGTTATTTTTGTTTGCTTGGATGCTTATGCTTTGCCCCTTTATCTTAGCACACGTGATTAGAATCCCCAGTTTTTTAACCTAGATTGGAGTCATCTGGTTTTAGCTTCTCGTATGGTGATATCAAAGAAAAATGTCGATTGCAGCTATGAAACGACTCCAAGACATGGGTGCATCATATTTCATTCTGGATCTTAGAGATAATCTTGGAGGACTGGTGCAGGTTTGTACGATAAGTTTGCGTCTTATATTTAACTTGAGTTAATGTTTGGTTTAATGATGTAATTATCCATTCGTTTAAGGAAGTTTCCCTCAACTCATTACAAATTGGTTTAATAATTATTCATTCATTTAAAGAAGTTTCCCTCACTCATTAGAAAGTTGAGAAAAACACTAAACCTAGACAGTTTTTTTGTTGTACCTTCATGTTGAGAAAAACACTAGACCTAGACATCATTGGCCCAAACTTTTGGAAGTCTTTGGATCCGCATGTTAAATTATTTCCATTTGATGCCTGCAGCCAGTTTCGTTGGATCTGTGTGTTAACTTTTTTACTTTCTTACAATTGAATTCTATAATTTGGTGTATCTGATTCTATATCTTGGCAAATTTCAGGCTGGAATAGAAATTGCGAAACTCTTTCTGAATGAAGGGGATACCGTAAGTTGATTTATGAGATTTAAACCCTTAAGATACATGAACTCTTTTTCTTAATCTCACGGACATAATTATAGTATTCTTTCTTCTCTGATGCTTATAACAGGTGATTTATACTGTTGGAAGGGATCCTCAATACCAACAAACTATTGTTGCCGATGCTGCACCACTAACGAAAGCTCCTCTAATTGTATACCTATACTGCAACCTATTCTCTTTTCATTATTTCATTTAGGAGACACAAGTTTTATTGGTGAACCTCTTAACTCCTTTGTCTCCTTCGTTCCCATCAGCATAAGTTTTTGTGTCGTTGATTTCTTGAAGTCTTCTGTACCAACTACTTGCGAAAAGTTGCAGTCTACTCTCTCTTTCTCTCTCTCCTCCTCTTCTTCCCTCTTTTATTTATTTATTTATTTATTTTTATAAAGTTATGAGTGGGATCCCGTTTCAATTTTGATACAGGTTTTGGTGAATAACAATACTGCTAGTGCCAGTGAAATTGTAAGCAGTTTGTTTTACCAACAATACTTACTGCTTTTTATTAGCCAAAAAAGAGAAAAAAAAAAAAAAAAAAAAAAAAAAAAAAAAAAAAAAAAAGAAAGCAAAAACACCGATTGCTTTGGCTTCCATCCGATGCATTCAAAGTTATGGTGGTCCTTCTTGCAGGTTGCTTCTGCTTTGCATGATAACTGTAGAGCTGTTCTTGTGGGCGAAAGGACATTTGGCAAGGTCAGAATATTTGGTCTGGTTGTAATATTTTAACCTTTTCCTTATAATTAATGGATCTTAATCATATTGTCTTAGAACTTGGTTCAGATAAACTTGGTCCATCTGAACCTATACTAAAGAACCTTTGAGTGAAACTGAAACATTCCCCTTCATGGTTGAAAGTAGAAATCAAATTTAAGTGTTTCCATCGGTCCAGCTTTGAATATGAGTTGCCCCTATACACTCATAGGGGCAACTCATATTTCTGATTTATGTCATTTAAGCGTGCGTTTTGGAGGCATCGAAATAAATCAAGTAATTTGCAACATATTTATATATATATATATATATATAAATTATTCTTAAGGTATGGTTACTGTTCCTTGACAGGGTTTGATACAATCTGTATTTGAACTTCATGATGGATCTGGTGTAGTTGTCACAGTCGGGAAGTATGTGACACCAAATCATAAGGACTTAAATGGCAATGGAATTGAGCCCGATTATCATAATTTTCCAGGTAGAACTCTTCACTTTTTGCACTACAAAATTTTTTTAGATTGTTTAGTTTGACAAACCTTCTATGCACAGCTTGGAGTGATATTGAACGACAACTTTCACGGTGCAAACAAGTTCAGAAAGGATAGCTCATCCTCACACACACATGGATTTAACTGAATCCATTTTAGCTACAATATTTGTCATTATTTCTACCTCAGCCCGGGTAATTTCCTGCATAGAATCTGCTAGAAAGGTGCTGGATAGGCCCAAAAGCTTAATGCCATTAATTTGGAGGTGCAACTGGATCAGGCTGCTCAGGGTTTCTTTGTGAGTTAAGTACATATACTGACCTAAGAATGCTTCCGTACAAAAATTAGACTGGCAAACATTGAAGAACAGCACAATCTTTTTTCTTTTTGGAAAAAAAAAAACCTTTTACCTCGTGTAAATCACCTCAAAAGCAGAGTTAAAAGAAGAACCGCACACAAGTTTTTTTATTGGAGAACAGCATGTAGCGGGTTTTGCATTCGACTCGGCAACCTAGCATTAGAGAATATGATCTGCTCCTGGAGAAAATTATATCGTCCTCCTAAGTGTGTGCTTGGCGATGAAAATATTGCCATTTCACTTGGGTGCTTCCTAGATGAAGCCCACACCCTGTAATCTTGTGGAGACTCTTTATTTCTTAAGACAAAGATTGAATCATGAATAATTTTATCCCAATTTTTCATCTTCATTCGTTTCGCCACATGAGAAGGGACTCATTTTGCTCTTCTTTAGCCAGAAATGAACGCATACGGCATACATATATTGCATTAAAGACGACCATATGGATTTGAGTTGTTAAAAAGCTCATTTTCTGTGATGTAAACATTGTGCCTTTGGTCTTGGCGAGTCTTGTGATTTACATATAAGCTTGTCGGAATTATGTCACTGAATAGATGTTAAGAGAGTAACCTATCATGACTCACCTGCAGGCTGCAAATGAGGTAAAGAAGATGCTCGTTTGCAAGAAAAGAACCAAAGCAAAAACTTTGCTAGATTGTGATTAAGAAAGGCTAAAAAGCCTTCTTCAATATGAATACGAGGAACTCTTTTTTTTTTTTTTTTTTTTTTGTATTATATATATATATATATATGTATGTATATATATTTATTTAAAACCTTAACTTCCATTCAACTGCAGAATCAGTCAATAACCATCTTGCTTATCCTCTCTCAATCGTTTCAAATCTTGCCATTTCTTTTTTATTTTTCCGATTGGAGAATTGGATATAACAGCCGTTTGTTTCTCAAAAGCATGGTGAATTAATTCGTAGGTCTGATGATTACTAAAAGATACTAATTTTACAACAACAAAAAATATTCGTAAATTGTTTAAAGGAAGGATAATTACATCTTTATAGTGAAACAAATGGTACAGAGGAAACCCCTTCCGAAGTGAAAAAAGAAAAACGTCATAAAAACTCGGATGAAAAAGACTTGGCTGTCCTTAAGTAAACTTTGTCGTTGTTGTTGTTGTGCTTTCTTTTTTCCTCTTTTCCTTTTAAAATTGCTGCTAAGTTTGTTAGGTTCCTTAATCCCGATACTAAAGGGCAAAAAGTATCGAGGTAAGCTAATCGTGAACTCGAAGAACAACTTCAGAGAATCCAAAATAATAGTAAACTGTTTTTGCAAAAAAAAAAAAAAAAAAAAAAAAAAAAAAAAAAAAAAAAAATTTTTTTAAAAAAAAAAAAAAAAAAAAAAAAAAAAAAAAAAAAAAAAAAAAAGAAAAGAAAGAAGAAGAAAACTGATATATCAGCCCAGTTGAGTTCAATATAGGATGATACTTCTTAATCAATAAAGGATGAGAGAGAAGTTCTGCCTCTTGATTACATCAGTCCAATGGTTTGGTTCTCATATGTATTGTATAGGATGATACTTCTTAATTAATAAAGGAAGAGAGAGAAGTTATGCCTCTTGATTACAACAGTCCAATGGTTTGGTTCTCAGATGTATTGGGAAAATGTTTAGGAAAATTTAGAGGAATGCCCTTTGTTGCGTTTGTTTTTACGCGGGTATTATAAAAAGTATTATAACACTTATTGTAACACTGATGTTTTGTTGAATGTTTTGGATTCAGGAACCAGTAAATAATTGTGCAGAGAATAAATGTGTAGAAACGTAAAAGACATAAGAATTGATATCATAGTTCGGTGCGCACACTTACATCTGCGGGGTTACGCCCAGACAGTGAACATTCCATTAAGATTAAAAGATTACAAGCACTAAGATGATCTTACACACTCAAAGACACCCTCATTGACAATATCACCGTTGTGTTGAGTCTTCTTAGAGGATTTATTCAGCGAGCACCACTCGTCTTTATAAAGCTTCCTTTCAAAAGGACAACGTTCGACAACCAAGGAACAATCTTGAAGATCGTTCACTCAAGCACACATGTTTTACAGACCCTTTTCTGCAGAATGTTTCTCACTCAAAAACCATACATCTCAACACCCGCTTTCAGAATCATGTTCACTGATTTTCATCCAGCGCATCATCACCCTGTACAAGGCAAGTTCATCCTCCACTGATTCTTTCCATAAACAGAGCCAATCAATCAGCCGAAGTCAACCAAATCAGCCACCAATCAATATCAGCAAAATCAGTCCAAATCTGGAAAATCATTCCAAATTTGGTGTAGCTAACCCAAAATGGAATTTCCTGTTTCTTTGAATTCATACAACCTTTTGCCAACAAAAATTGCCAACCAAGAACGGCCCTAACACCCTCTCATAAAAAGGGCATAAAAATTTATGCTCTTTCTGCCCGTTTAGTAGCGTTTTCAAAATAGTTTTGTTTTGAGTGTGAAAATGAAAATAAGAATTTTTTAAGAATGATATTGAGACTGTTTGAAAATGCGTTTTGTTATTTTTTTTTTCTTAAAGAGTGTTTTAGGTATAAAAAGATTGAAATTGTTTGGGTATGTTTAGAAAATGAAAATGACAATGTAAAAACAAGTTTCAATCATTTTTTATAGCTTTAACAAAAACCATTTTGATCACTATATTTTGTTCTCGTTCTCATTTACAAAGTATTTACTATCCAAACATTGTTTAAAGATAGTGAACGTTTTTGTGCCTTAAAGGACGTCCAAAAACATTTTCAAAATAAATGAAAACAATACCAAACAATTCCTACCCCCACTGTCTTTCACTGTATATCGAACTCAAATGGTAGAATTCTATGAGGTAAGGTAAAACTAAAGAACTAAGTTAAAGGGGTAGATTGCCTAATTTTCGTAAATTTATTTAGTTGTAGTAATAGTATTTTCTAACAATAGTCTAAGTGTTACATCAAAGTGGGAGAGTGAGTCTGTAAAAGGTCTGGCAACCAAAGTGCAAATACAAGTATTTTCTAGAGAATAGAATAATAACAAGAGTAAAAGCAGAAATTTAACAGTATTTATGACAGGGCATAAATCTTCATATCCTTCGCCAAAGGGTTCTAGAAAAGATTCAAGTATGTTTTGATTGAGAGAGAGAGAGTAGAAGATAACCTATATTTAAAAAAAGGAGAAATTAAAACGTAAAATATGAACATGGCTATGGAGACAAGGGGAGTTTTTCCATATGGGTATGTCTAGGCTGAATCAAAACGCCTTTGAGAAGATAAATCTGAATGTTGGTTCCCATATCCCATTTGTGCACATTACGCCAACTAGTCTAATCAGAAAGCTATATATGCTTCCTTTATAGATGAGTAAATTGTTACCATTTTGGGCAACTCAGAAAACTTTGTGCATGGTTCATATACACTTGTATGTATTCCTTTTATTTATTTATTATATAGTTTTTGTCTACAAGGAATCATCTACTTTTGCTAACCGTTGGGCAGGTTTCAAATTGTTGTGTACTTTGTATTTGAGAAGCTGAAAGGAGTTAATAAAATAAAATAAAATAAGATAAAAAAGACCAGGGGACAACATTCCTGATTACAAACTACGGGATGTTAACAAAGAGTGAAATCTCTTCATACCCCAAATTCTTTAGCTTTTGATTTAGTACCATAAAAACAGAGAAAGTAAGAAGTGCCAAACATTGGTGAGTGTCAACATAAAACAAATGGAAAATCTCATTCTCAGCCAAAAACATCAGATTACATTCCCAACAGATCACTGTTTGGCATTTCCCTTTTCATGCACCTTTTTTTCTCTTTATGCACCTTCTCTTGCTTGCACTTCCCAACTATCCAATTCCTCCTTTCTCAAGTTTTCTTATATTCTTCACTTCTCTCTTCTATGTTTCTCTCTCTGCGATCCAAGAAAGCTATGATTCCTAAAGATTAATATTTAATAAATTCACTCAGAATAAAGATAAAAAAAATCTTCTTTGCATTAACACCATTGGTGCTTCCCTTATTTAGTATAATATCTTAGCTTCTCCATTATAGTTCTAAACTTGAGAAAAAAACAAAACAATTCAGCACCAAGTTATTATAGAAGAAGCTTGAAGAGATGGGTGTTTTTCCTCTGTTTTTCTTGTGCCTTCTCTTCATTTCAGGTGATTTGCGTTGCCTTAAAAGCTTTTGGTTCTTGCCTGGATGTTTGATATCACGTTCACAAAATGTTCATTCTTGGCACTAAATTCTTGTTTTTATATGCATACTTTTTTTCCATATTGTTATTGGTTTCATCTTCAAAATTCCATTTCTATGATGGGAAATAAACGGTAATATTAAGAGTTCAATTTTCTGGATATGTTAAAGAGGTGCACCAATGCTGAATATTAATAATAGGATGAACATAAATACTTCTGGTTCAGAAACTCGTTGGGAAAAAAAGAAATGGAGAATTGGAGAATACTATTTCAGATCTTGCCCTTCATTTATAATTGTTTCTCTTTTGAAATGTCGTTTTCAATTGTTTAGAAATACCTTGAACATAAGCTTGTAATTTAATATGTTCTCCTCAGAAAATTTTATTTATGAATCATGATATTCATATTCTATTAACATTAAGCTCTACTTCAACATATTGCTAATTTCAATATGTCAATTGAATCGATCTGCATTCTGTGAAGCTCAGAAATAAAAGCGATAACAGAGTAAATATATGCATCTTTGATTGTTCGTTTGAATTTCGGCAACATGTATATTATATATACACACACACACACACACACACACACACACACACACACACACACACACACACACACACACACACACACACATATACACATAGATATATACACACATATATACATACATACACGCACGCGCGAAGGTTTAAAAAATTTATGCAAATTTCTGGTGTTTCATATGACAATTAGACATCATATCAATATTACCAACTACTTAACATCTTCTCACTAGAGAAATAGGAAATAAAGAGAACTTGCAATTTTTTTTTAGTTTCTTCAGGTCCAAGTAATGCAGAAAAGCCTCCTCCGAAAGCAATCCAGAAATATGAGGTTATGGGCAATCAAGAAGATCAGATACCTTTTTCAGATTCAGTGTTCACCGACCAGTTGGACACAATTCCTGTTGTCAACCCGACTCCAACTACGCCAACTCCAACTACGCCAACACCGACCTTCAACTCCCCACCAACACCGACTACGACACAACCAACCATACCCCCACCAACACCGACTATGACACAACCAACCATACCCCCACCAACACCGACTACAACACAACCAACTCCAACAACACCGACCACAACTCCCGTGTCATCTGGTGGCAGTTGGTGTATTGCGAGCCCAACAGCTTCAGACACCGCTCTACAGGTAGCCCTTGATTATGCTTGTGGCTATGGAGGTGCAGACTGTTCTATACTTCAATCCGGGGCGAGCTGTTACAACCCAAACACGGTCCGTGACCATGCTTCTTACGCCTTCAATGATTACTTCCAAAAGAACCCGATTCCAACCAGCTGCAACTTTGGAGGAACAGCTCAACTTACCAACACTGACCCAAGTAAGATCCTCCACTGAAAACGGGTTCTTATTATTCGGACATGTTATTCAAGTATCCGTTTAGAACGGGAATTCAGATCTTACCTCTGTGGTTTATTGCTCCCGGAAGCAACTTCACAAAGAATCCTTCCAAAAGGCAACTTTTGCTTATTTTAACAACAATGTTACTAAACTGCCCATCAGAAAAGTGTGTATTTTTTCAACTGCAGAGCTCTTGCTGAATGTTATGGCCACAGGCCACCTTTAACTTCTCAACTTTTTACCAGAACTTTTAGATCGAATACCAGCTTTTTAACTACCCTTCCCAATACGATTTCAAAGTCCCAAGTTTGTCCCATCACTCTATTTGTGCTCCATTGCCTTGAACGGATATGGTTTAGATCAAGCTCTAAACAACCTATCTGTCTCTTTATTGCAGGTAACGGTAGCTGCCGCTATGCATCACCACGAACGGCACCCAGGTAAATTCTCAAGACGGCCTCCATCATCATTTCTATGTCAAAAGACGCAAAAGAAAATCTAATCCAATATTTACGGTTTTATCTTTTTGCAAATGCAGCACAACTACATCCGCCAACCCCACCCCTATGATGCCACCACCAGTAGTTCCAACCACTCCAACCTTTGACACACCAACTGGATCTTCTATTTACGGTTCAGAGCCTGTAGGTACCCCCAGCTCAGCTGTCTCTATCTCCTACTGCAGAACATTGTTATTCATCACAGCTGGTCTATTGGGGTCAGCCATAGCAGCAACTTAGCAGTAAACAGAAAGAAACTACTCCAAGTTATTCTCTGTGCAAGAGAAGGCAGATCATTCACTTGGCAGCACACTAGTTGAAATTCAACGAGGCAAAGAGAATTCGAGCTATTATGTTCTCTCAAGGCCTCATTCTTACCATTTGAGTTATTTACTATATACTTTATCTATGTATACCTCTTAGTAGACTAAGAAGCCCTAGGGAGAAAACAGAAGAGGAAAGAATAGGTTCTTGTACTCATAGGCACATCGTTATTCTCTATGCAGCAATAGCTCAATAAATTATTATACATCCCCATCAGACTTTAGACAAATTTTCTACTGAAGAGGCACTTAAAATTAGCTAGCTAATAACTAATTAACTGACTAACTAACACAGATGGGCTTCCAGAGGGGAAAAAACTGACCAAAAGTAAAAAAATAAAAATAATAAAAAATAAAAAATAATAAAAAATCTTGAAATATCAGTTAATAGTTATATTATTGACCTTAACATGAACGGCAATTTCCGCTAACAAAGAAAGAAACAACAACAGATGAAGATTGAATGGTGAAATGCAGCTAGGTAGCGTAAGGAAATCGGGCAATAATGTAACCACAGGGTTAAGTTAATTGTCCTGTGATCACAAAGGTGGCATTTTTATCACAAAGGTGGCAATGTTTTTTCCTTTTTTTCTTTTTTTTTTTTTTTCCTATGCTTTATAATAACGTAGTATCATCCTATGACTCAAATACAATTAACATTGAATGCTTTTACTAAAGCAACCGATCATTCATTATACTTCTTTTATTTTTCTTTGTGGTAACTATTAGTTGTTTGATTGTTTGAAGACTGTTCCATACGTGGAGTATAATGTGAATGCAAAATGCACAAGTTGAGGCACTTGCTCATATTAAAAAACAATAAAAAAAATGTCACATTTTAATATTATCTATAAAATCTGATAGTATTCTTGCAGAAAAAGGGGAAAATACATCTCACACGAGAAATAAAACATTAGAATATCATGACCGTTCTCATGGTTATTTCCTAGCTACATGGGCTAATACCTTGCTATATTGACATAATAGAACTCGCTACGTATGTACAATAGACTAAATTAGAAGCAAAAATGACACGACAGTGATACCAACGATGGCTGAGGTGGCAACGATTGCACCTTGGTCAAATGCCCTCTTCAAACTTCCTGCTCGTGAGAAATGCTGGTAAGCCAAATACGCTGCAATCACCAAGGATATAATAGCACCTTCTTGTGTTCCCCTGTCAACGAAGAAAATGAGAAAGGCAAAAAACTAAGAAGCACACAAATAAGCCTCACAAAAATTGGTCTCTTTAGTCATAAACGAGACACTTACCTTAGGTTCAAAACTTGATAAGGCGCCACAATTACTAACAGTAACCCTAGAAATGGCAACTCAAGCTCACCTGAAAACATGAGAGGCCCAATTTAGGATTACTAAGAAGGAACAAAAAAATATCTTAAGTCAAAGTCAGAGCAAGGCACAAAGAAATGCAAATGCCAAATACATAAACAAGTAAATGAGGCAGGTCAACTTACCAGGAATATAGAAGAAGAGGCGAACGAGAAGAGCTAAGAATGCAGTCCAAATACCATATTCACCCCTGTAATACAAACTAACCTAAATTTACCAAGGCATAAATCCAATCAAAATTTATCCACATGATAATACTTGCAGGTTTTTCTTTTTTTTTTTTGGAATAATTACAGGGAAAACTCAATTCAATTCAACATACTTTTCTTTTTCCTGATAAAAAACCATGGTCTGATCTGATTTATCTCATTGAAAGAAAACAAAAACGGGAGAGGAGAATTTCTAAAAGGTGTACTTAATCCATGCGATGACGCTTGCTGGTGCTTGTATCGCAAATAATGGAATGATGAAGGATTTCTTAATGGCAGTGCCTCTGGCAAGCATCAAAATCCTGGAATATGAATTAGAAGATCCATTAATGCATAGTTTACATATCCATCATTTCTCAATAGAGTATATGACTTCGTTAATAGGTACATTAATGAAGTGTATATAATGACTGTTGAAGGAAACGGTTTACTCTAAATGCAATTAGACAACAAGCAATGCAAACTTTGCAAAAATGAAAAAAGGGTATGTAATTGGAGGGAAAAAAAATAAAAAATCCATAATCTTAAACGGGGATCACTCTTTTTTCATAAGGATAAGGATAGGGCGGTTCATACTTGCTCACAAGTTACTCCCATTATTTTGATAGTTTAATCCCACAAACTAATGAGGACTACTGCAAGGTTCATACCTAAATCTAAAATAAGTAAAGTAACTCAGTCACTCAAAGTTCGATTTTAATCCCAAAATACTCAAAAAAGAAAAATCAAGTCACCTTGTTTCAAAATCCATATCCCCAATACAAATCACGAAAAAGGAACAGGAGAGCTACGGTTAACAAATTGTTTAATTCAAATCGAATACACACTCTAATGGATTATTTTTTAATAGATATCTAGTCGATTAAGTCGAATAAATACACACACAAATAAATATATGTACGTGTAATAAAATAATGATAGCAATGATAATAATCTAAACTGCTTCATGTTGAAGAACTTTAATCTTTTTGAAAAAAATTTCCAGCACCAACCTAAAAAATAATTATTATAATTACTATTCAAAAAAATAATAATTAAAAAAAAAGATATTGCCACGAATATGCTCGTACGATTATGCATTTGATAATTTGATACAAATATTGATACGTCTTCCATAGTTAGAGAAAGATCAGAGAAATTACGCAGAAGAAACGGTCGAGATCCACTGGAGATGCCGCACAGACAGAGGCGCAGCGTAACACACGGCACCGGATCCCCTACTACCTCTCTTCTTCGTTTTCATCCCCCTCAAAATTCCCTCATTTCCAAGCAAAAATCTAAAAGAAAAAGGTCAAACTTGTCAAAACAAAGCACAAAAATCCTCCATTAAAGAACCTCTTCGCCTTGCGTCGAGATTCCAAAAGTGATCAGAAATGAGATAAATCGATCGGAAAATTACCGACCTGAGGCTGAGAGGATTGTATCGGAGCGAGCTTGAGGTCTGAGCTCGAGGAGCGAAGTCCAGTCGCTCGGCCTGCCGACGGAGAGAGAAAGCAGGAGTCTTTCTGCTGTAGAGAGAGAGTGTGTTCGGCCATGGTTTACATGTGAGAGAAAGCGACGCCATTTTTGCCTTTCTTCTTCTTCTTCTTCTTCGTGTCGTACGAGAGAAGTCGAGTCTGAGAAAGTATCTAGAATCTAGATTGCCGTTTTGGTGCTTTTATATTCGAATTTTTAATTTCAATTTCATTACAACTAAAAAATTTTTAAAAAAATTACATTTAACTTTTTTATTATAATTACGTGTACGTTTAGTTCACTATTTGAGTTTTAAATTTGAATTAAAATATAATTTTATATGATAATTTTTTACTATAATAAAAAAATTAGATACACTGTTTTTAAAAAAAATTTATTATAATAAAACTCAAATTTTAAACTTAAACTGGTAAAATAAACAGAGCTTAAGAAGATGTTTAGTTGATAGATTTAAAATCATGATTTAAAATTATTCTCAATTTACGTGTGTTTTTTTAAGAAAAAATATTATAATAAATTACAAACCATGATTCAAATCATAACACGAATTTTTAAACCAAACGCACTATAAAAATTCTCATATTTTAAGAACCCAGGCAGGTGCTCAGAATGAGACAATTCTACTGGTTAATAACTACTATCCGCCTAATTCATTTAAAATAAAATTTGTATTTAAAAAAAAAACTAAAAACATCAATAAAAAAATAAAGATAAAAACAAAAAAATATCTCAAGTAAAAGAGAGAAAAAAATTATAAACAATATAATAAGTTTTATAAATAGTTTATTTATAAAACAATTTATAAAAAATTAAATAATTTATAAATAATTTATTTTTTAACGGTTCTCAAATTTTTTTACTTTCATTTAAAAAACAATTTTTTTATTTTTTATGAATGTTATGCGGTACATAATAAAGGGTGATTTTATTTTATTTTGTATATTTTATTTTATTTTAATGTAATTTTAATTTATTTTAAGTTTTTAAAATTATTTATAGCATTTTTTTATCACAACAATATTAGAAATTAGGCGAAAAAAATGTTAAAACGGATAAAATCATATCACAGATCATTTTAAAATAAATAAAGATGACACCAAAGTCAAAGGGTGGTCCCCTTTTTCCGTCTCTTTCAGTAACATACAAGACTCCCATCTCTTGCACGTGGGGCCCACACCATTCTCTCTCTCTTCTCGCGGGACGGACCACCCCACTCTCTCTCTCTTTTCACGTCATCTCCTCTCTTCTTTTCTGCGGGACCCACCACTCTCTCTCTCTTTTCACGTCATCTCCTCTCGGATTATACAATAGTTTTTTGTACATAATAGTTCAATTACTCCGAAGATTACGGGGTTGTTCTTTTGTATGTTTGATTTAGAGTGATTTAAGTGATGATTTTGAGTTAAGTTTAAGTTATAATTTGAGTTAAAGTTATAATTTGAGTTTGTGTTTAGATGTACATATTTGAGTTATAATTTAAATTTGTATTTGGGTGGGTCAAAACTTAAATTTGTATTAAGATAGTATTTTAATAATATCTCAATGGTGATGAAAAATTTTAATAAGGTATATGTGTGAGGTTTTATTCGTCTTTTCGTTATAAATGCATAGAAAAAAAATCATCTCAATAAGAATTAAAACGAAAAAGTTATGATATTTTTAAGAATAGAAAAAATATTGTTCATTAACTTGAGTTCGAGTTTATGAACTCGAGTTGAAGGGAAAATTTGAACTCAAGTTTAGCCCCAAACTCGAGCTTAAACTCGAGTTCAAACTCAAATTTTACAAAAAAAACATAAACTTAAATAAAATTGTAACTCGAATAATTTTTTGAGTTTTGTTGCAAAAAAACAACCCTATAGATCATCTCATTTTGAACCTACAATTGAAAATGACATAAAATTGATCCTAAGCTTATTTGAAATTACAGTTTGATAATTCTATCAGTTAAATGTCAATTCTTTAACGATTTAAACGTGCAAGTTAAATTTGTTCTTGACAATAGAAATATAATAAATTTAAACAAAATAAGTTTTTAAAAAAATTAAAAAAATTATAAATATTTTTGACTCATTTAATTCATGTGTTTAAGTCAGTAATTTTAATTGTGAATTTAAATTTTACAGAGAATCATTAATAAAAACTTTTTTGATTTAAATTTTGTACGAAAAAAAAACCATAATAAAATTAAAATCATAATTTTAAACGTACAAACAAACGAACCATTTATTATTTTAACTAGAAGTATCACATCTGTCTTTGCTCACAATGCTTGCATCGCCATCCTATATAACAATACGGATTTTCATATTTGTGTCGTTTTTTTTTTTTTTTTACAAAGAGTTTATCCACTCCTGCGTCGGGGTTTCCAAAAAGAGAAAAAACAAACATCGCAAAAAGAGTGTCATTAGACAACAATTTTAGTTTAGAGAATTCCTGACGAGGTTCATGACCATATAAATTTTTTGATGTGAAATATATAATTAATATTTATATTTATATTAGAGATGATCTTAATATTAAATAAGGGGAAAATTTACAGTTTTAGTATTATACGTAGCTTAGAAATGTTTTCTCATACCTGGAGGGGTATTTCTAGTATTTCAAAAAAAAATTAATAGTCAACTTGAATGGCCAGTTCAATATAATTTTTTTAAAAATTAAAAATGAATTAATTCTGATTACGGGAGTATCGCTATAATATTCGTAAAACACAAATGGTGTGAGTGTAATAAGTCTTAAATTAAGGGGTTGTTTGGTTGGAGGATTCGTACCCCGATTTGAATTATAATTTATGGTTCGTTATAGTATTTTTTCTCATAAAAAATATACATAAATCAAAAATAATTTTAATATCATAATTTTAATTCATGAACCAAACGTCTCTGATGCTTTATTTTACCATAAAGCCAATACTTGTTTCGTTTTAAACGACAGGAAACTACTAAACGAGAAACAACGACATGTCGTTTTGTTGTTATCATTAGAATTATCCATCAACATCATGTCGTATTCTTGGAGAAACGACAGCAGACTTTCACTTAGCGCTCTCGCAGTGGCTCTGTCTTCTCTGTTCTCTCTCTTCCCCTGCAATTCACAATTCTGGTTTTCCCGGCACCCTATGAAACAATTTTCTCTTTTCTTTCGTCTGCCGATTTAATTATCAATGGAGCCTCAAACTTGTGATTCTGAAACAGAGGCTCAGCCTATGGATTCCGATTCTTCAGGTGAAATTGAAAGCTTCTCTCTCTGTGCCACGATACTTTTCTCCTGTTTATCTCTATTTTGTTCATTACCGGTTCTTTTTCTAAGAATAGTACTGATAAAGATATTAACTTGGATTTTCTTATCTCAAGGTTTTGGATTTTTCTTTTCTTTTCTTTTTTTTTTCCTTTTCTTTAGCAGGTTTTGATGAGCTCAAACTCAATGAGTTAGTTGGTAAAGGTTCATTAGGCCTTGACGAATGGGTTTCGCTCATTTCGAGGATCGAGAGAACGTGTCCCGTAAGTCCAATAGATCTCACTTACTAAATTACTGCATTCCTTTAATTTTTATTTTCTATTTTGTTTCTTCTCAATCTTCTATGAAAATCGTCTTTCAATTCGGAGGGAGTTGATAACTGCGAGTCACGTTTTTTTCCCCTTAATTTCTTAGTTCTGTTTTCTATATGAAGAATGCTAGAGGGCATCGGTGAATAGAAGGTTGGTCCTACGACATGGGACCCATTGATGGGTCTCTTTGTTAGTTGTAGTGCTTAGTATCAATGGTGCCTCATAGCATGTTTTTTCCGATATCATGGGATCATGACCATAAAAATTGAAAAAAAAAAAAAAAAATCTAGTCCTAAGACGTATAAGGCCTGTGATTTGAACATGGCATCGGAACCATACAAGTTGAGGTGGAATTCATAAAGTAGTGTATGAATGTTCATAGTTTAATTTGTTGCAAGTTATGACTTATGAGGCCTAGTTTGCGTCTGGAAACAAATCACATTGTGGCAAGAGAGAAAGAAAACCAAAAGGGTGTAAATGAAATATCATAAAATGGGATCACAACCTTTTATTTTTGAACCTTGAAGAAAATCTCTCGGGATCCTTTATTTAATAATTTACAGGGTAGTGTTTATGAAGCATTTTGTTTCTTCTTTTTTTGATGGGGACCCACCTTTTTACGTAAAGAAACAGAAAGCTTAGAAAGCTCAGGAAAGCTCAACTAAATTAAGTCATATTTTGTTCACACACAAGTTTAACTCCAAAGACAACTACTTTAGCCCGTTCCAATATGTAAATGGGGATATACCAATTGAATCTCAGTATGTTAATTGGGGTTTAACATTGAGTAAGAATCTGGCGTTCCAAATTAACGGTAAGAATCTAGCGTTCCAAATTAACGGTAAGAATCTGGCGTTCCAAATTAACGGCAAAAAGGACCTAGAGGGCTGACTAATCTATCTGGTTTACTGCCACTCGCTACTAAGTTATTGCATTCCTGTGCGCATAGGTAGATAGTATGTTTCAATGGAAATTTATGCTGTTCTTTTTTTTTTTTGGGTGTTACTGCAGGATAATGTAGAGAAGATTCGTTTAGTTTATGACTCATTCTTGTCTGAGTTTCCTTTGTGCCATGGATACTGGAGAAGATATGCTGATCACAAGATGCGCTTGTGTGCTGTTGATGAGGTAGTTGAAGTTTTTGAAAGAGCTGTGCAGTCAGCAACATATTCTGTTGCTGTTTGGGTTGACTACTGTAACTTTAGTGTGTTAACTTTTGAGGATCCATCTGATATACGCAGGTAATTCAACATTTAGAATGAAAAAAGAACTTTACATGATGTGTGTATTAGCGTTTCTTGCATCTGGTAACATCAATGGATGTCAATGACAAAAGTATGTTCCGGATATGTGTTTAGAAAAATAAGGAAAAGAAAAAAAGAAAAAATCAATCGGGTTCAAATTTTCACGTTTGTCTTCGTTCATTAGTTTATAAAGGTTAAACTTTATATAACTTATTAACAATCTAGAAGATCATAAAATTCCTCTGCTGAATGGTGTTATAGAAAACTGAACTTTGGAAAATGTTTGATATTCTGGGGCTTAGAGATAGAACAAGCTTTTCTCTGCACATGGATTAAATCTAATTTTTCTATCGAGGTATCTGGAGACAATAAAAACTCCATAGGCCATTTCTCGCCCAATTTCCCATAGTTGTAAATATCATTATTAAGTTTCTGGCGGATCTTTGAGTTCATTGATCACGCTTCTATTGAAATTATTGGCTGGGGATGGTACTTTACTTTTGGACGGGTACTGAAAGCAGCACCATTTGTTTGTTGAATCGGAGTGAAGTCAAATGTCGATTGCACTTGGAAGATTGGGAAAGTGACTGTGCCAAAATGAAAAAATTGACAATATATAATCTATGTTCCTATATGCGTACATGATAAACACATGCACACACATTTTTCTAAGTTATTCTCTTGAGGACAATTGCCAAAGAAATGTTTACGGGTTATGAGTTTCTCCAATATTTTCCTTTTTTAATGTGGATAATTAAGTGGATGTGCACATGTGCTATTGTTCTGTTTAATGTTAAATGGTTGGCTGGTTTAGCAACTCAATACCTTTTATTCCCACTTTTCCACTTTGTTCTTGCTCTCTAGTTCCTTGATCTGCTTTCTTACTGGGGCATAAACAATATGAATTCAAAGTTGACTAATATTTCTCTCTTCAAAATTTTGGCAGATTATTCAAAAGAGGCATGTCATATGTTGGTAAAGATTACTCATGCCATTCTTTATGGGACAAATACATCCAATTCGAGTTATCTCAGCAGCAATGGAGTTTGTTAGCTCACATTTATATTGAAGCACTTAGATTTCCTACCAAAAAGTTGCATCATTATTATGAGAGGTATGATCTTGTTCTGATAGTTGCGTCGTTATTATGAGAGGTATGATCTTGTTCTGATTCCTTGAATGTCGATGTTTATGGAGAGGGAAGGGACAGGAAACAGCTTTGAGACCGTCATCGTCAATGTGACATTTTAGACACTGCATGGCAGTTCTGAAATCACCTCATTATGACTAACAAATTATCCCTTAGATTGCTCCATCATTTTTTACGTACATGTTTTTGGTGTAGTTGTTATATTTCTTGCTTTGTCTAAATAACTGCTTCATATCTTGGCCAATAGATCTCAGAAAAGACAGTAGTATCTTTATATATATATATATAAATGGTGAGTAGTCTTTGTTTATTTATTTCTCATTGTATGTTTTTTTTTTTTTTTTCCTTTTTTCTTTTCATGGTTTGTTGCTTGTGGCATGCTGTTTTGCTATCAGTTATCTTCCTGTCCAAGCTTGTTTAACCATGGAGTAAGCAAAGCATTAATTCCATATTTTCTTCAGTTTTAAGAAGTTAGCTGCATTATGTGACAAGGAGTTAGGATCTCAAAGCAATTGTTTTGTGGATTCACTGTCAGAATCTTTGCTTGATGATAAAGTTCCTAAAAGTTATGGGGCTAATGAAATTTCTTGTGTTATCAAAGACCTATTTGAGCCATCTCTCAGCTTGGATAGGTCAAAGATGCTACTTCAAAAATATCTCTCCATCGGAATGCGTTTATATCAGGATGCATGTGATCTCAATGAAAAAATTAGCACTTTTGAGACGAATATAAGGAGGTCTTACTTCCATGTTGAGCCTCTTGATGTTGATCAATTGGAGAATTGGCATCACTATCTGGACTTTGTTGAGATGCAAGGAGATTTCGACTGGGTGGGCTTTTAATCACTTTTGCGCTTATGAAAGCTCCACTTACTGCATTTCCGTTATCATTTGTATTTAAAACTCTTTATGGGTTTTTTCTTACATTTCTTATCAGGTTGTTAAACTCTATGAGAGATGTTTGATTCCATGTGCCAATTATCCTGAATTTTGGATGCGTTATGTGGAATTCATGGAAATTAAGGGAGGAAGAGAGATTGCAAACTATGCTCTCAACCGAGCAACACAGGTTTTTCTTGAGGTCTGTTCTATCTATAAATTAGAAGTTTTGCTATTTATGAAAATTATGACTTCTTCCTCTTTCACCTACGAAACTTAGACTAGTTTTCCTCGTCTAAGGGATATTGGGCAATTTTTTTATTAGCTGTATTACTTTTGCTTTCCGTGGAAAAGTTCCATGAAACCTACCTTTTCTTCTCTAGTTAATGGAAATTAAACTTATGTCTTCAAGTACTATTAATTGAGATTTGTGGACTGGATTTACAAAGTTCCTAGAGGATTGATTCCGAAAGATTTCTCTTAGTGTTCCAAGAGTCCGTCACTGTTAGGATCCCCTCTTCCCTAGCCAGCACAAACACAGATTCAAGAAGAATTGCCTGAAAAAGTCCTTTTATTTATTCAATCTTCTGTCTCTCCGAAGAGAGGAAAATTACAGCAATGGAAATAAGAACAAAGGTAAAACTAGAACAATGGAGAATTCGAGGTTCTCCTTCCTCCCAAGATCTGATAACTGAATTCTCAATTCCCAGACCCCTCTCACGTTCCCCTCCCTTCCCTAGATAAGCTCCCCCTCCCCGCCCAAACCAGCTAACAAATTCCTAACCAACTTGCCACATCAACTCTCCCTTCCCATATTTCCATTTCCTACCCCCTTGTCTTGTACAATTGCTCCATGCCCCTTCCTCCAAGAGTAAACCAACATAACAGGGGGCCTAACAATACCACCCCCGCCTCCCATCCTCAACGTTGAAAGTGGGGAATTGTTAGCGAATTGCAGCCAGCGGTTCCCAAGTAGCCTCCCACTCATGTAGGCCCTGCCACTTAATGAGTACCTGTTGCTCCTCACGTCCTCCCACCCTGATTACCCGAGTCTGCAGAACTTCCTCCGGGCGAACGCACAATTCCAAGTCCGCGGACAGCTGCTCCGGCAAAGGCTGCACCTTGGAGGCCGCCCCCTTAAAAGGTTTCAACTGAGAAACATGAAAGACTGGGTGGATGCGAGCGGTATCCGGCAGGCGCAATCGATACGCTATAGGACCAATCTTAGCCACAACCTCAAAGGGTCCATAGAAACGCGGGGCGAGCTTCTCATTCTTGCGTCGAGCCAGGGACCGAAGACGGTAAGGCCGTAGCTTAAGCAAAACCAACTCCCCGATATCGAAATTCAGCTCCCGGCGTCGGCTATCCGAAAATTTCTTCATATGCTGCTAAGCGAGCAAGAGGTGAGATTTCAACAAATCCAACATTTCATTGCGAAGAGCCAACTGGTCCTCCACTGCAGCCACCGGGCTGGAAGTGTCTTGAAAGCGAAAAAGGGTGGGCGGGTCTCGGCCGTAGACAATGCGAAAGGGGGTGAATTTGGATGAGGCATTAAAGGTCGTGTTGAACCAATACTCAGCCCATGGTAAAAACGAACACCACAGCCTTGGTTTATCCCCTGCAAAGCAACGTAAGTAGCCCTCTAAGCAGCGGTTAACCACTTCAGTTTGTCCATCGGATTCCGGATGATAAGCGGAACTGGTACACAACTTAGTGCCCTGCAATTTGAATAATTCACGCCAAAAGCCACTCATAAAGATCGGGTCCCTATCACTTACTATGGACCGTGGAACCCCATGAAGCTTAACAATGTGTGAGACAAACAATGCAGCCACTTGTCTGGCCGAATAAGGATGAGCCAGAGGGCAAAAATGGGCATACTTCGACAAACGATCCACGAACACCAAGATGGTGTCAAACCCGTTGGACTTAGGTAAGCCTCCAACAAAATCTATGGACACATTGTCCCAAACCAAGTCCGAGATAGGTAAAGGCTGCAAGAGGCCTGCTAGCGAAAGTGCTTCGGACTTGTTCCGCTGGCAAACCTCGCAGTGTGCCACATAATCTCGAATGAAACGCTTCATCCCTCACCAGAACACTACGGCGGACAGCCGCTTGTACGTACGCAAGAATCCGGAATGACCCCCAATCACTGAGTTGTGGAACTCATGAACCATCCGAGCAATGCAGGGAGAATTGGCTACCAGGACCAGCCGGTTCTTAAAAAATAATAGTCCATTTCGTAACGAATAGCCATCCACGAACTCAACGTCTTTGAGCTTAGCAATGGTTGTGGCCCACTCCTTCGTTGTGCGCTGCTCCAAATGGATGGCCTCCAAATCCCCAACCTGGGGCATGGTTAAAGCGCCAAGTGCCGCATCCGACCAGTCTCCTCGCCTAGACAACGCGTCAGCCACCTTATTGGCCACTCCAAGCTTGTACTGCACCTCAAAGTCATAGCCGAATAACTTGTACACCCACCGCAGCTGGTCGGGAGGAAGTTGGCGCTGACCCATGAGATACCGCAAACTTTGCTGATCAGTTCGGACTACAAAATGTCGCCCCAGTAAGTAGTGTCTCCATTTTTGAATTGCCAGCACCACCCCCATGAGCTCCCTTTCGTAAACAGACTTTACACGGGAAGCAGGAGCAAGGGCCTTGCTGAAAAACGCGAGAGGCTTGTCCTCCTGCATCAGAACCGCCCCTAAGCCTTCTCCGGACGCATCCGTTTCGAGCACAAAGGTTTTAGCGAAATCCGGAATTGCTAATACCGGGAGTTGTGTCATGGCGGCGCCTTCAGAGCCTCAAAGGCGTGGCAAGCAGCGTCGGTCCAGACAAAACCTTTCTTTGTAAGCAACTCTGTTAAGGGCCTGCGAGGATGCCATACCCCTTCACAAACCGCCTGTAATATCCTGTGAGCCCCAGGAATCCACGCACTTCTCGGGTGTTTCGCAGGGGAGGCCATGCCGTGATAGCCCGAATTTTAGAAGGGTCGGCCGCTACCCCCTGCGCTGAAATTAGGTGGCCCAGGTATTCTAACTGCTGCTGCCCGAAACTACACTTCTTATTAGCGAACAACTTCCCACGCTGCAAGACACTAAGGACAGTGGCCAAGTGTTGGCGATGGTCCTCCCACGAACGACTGTACACCAAAATATCATCAAAGAATACAAGAACGAACTTCCTGAGGTAAGGCTGAAAAATCCTATTCATGAGGGCTTGGAAGGTGGCTGGGGCATTTGTTAACCCGAAGGGCATGACGAGGAACCCATAGTGGCCCTCATGAGTCCGGAAAGCTGTCTTTTCCACGTCCGTTTCATGCACATGAATCTGGTGATAACCTGCTCGCAAATCCAATTTGGAGAACACCACAGCCCCATTAAGCTCATGTAGCAATTCATCAATCAACGGAATGGGAAACTTATCCGGGTTTTTGATTTGGTTGAGCGCGCGGTAGTCTACACAGAACCACCAACTACCGTCCTTCTTTTTAACCAGAATGACCAGGCTCGAATAAGGGCTGCTGCTCGGCTGAATGATGCCCGAGGGCAACATATCCATCACTAAACGCTCTATTTCCCCTTTCTGTACTTGCGGAGATCGATAGGGTCGAACATTCGGGGGGTCTACCCCTTCCTGTAGAATAATCCGGTGGTCGCGTTCCCTGTGTGGAGGCAACTCCGTAGGACTTTAGAACACTCTATCAAAGTCGCTCACCACTGTCCTCACCTCTTCAGGCACCTCCCTATCGTCACCGTCCCTTCCTTGCACCGAGAGTTCACACACTTCCACCAACACCCCAGCTCCTTCCGACAACAACGACCTCACTAAGGAACTCAACTTCACCGGGGCATAGCATAAGCTTGGGTCACCTCGCCAAGTTACCCATGTTGGCCCCGCCCGAAATTTCAATAGAAATTTAGACCAGTCGGCCCTCACTTCCCCTAGAGTACTTAACCATGTTACTCCAGCACCAAATCCGCCCCTCCCAATTCAAAGGGGAAAAAGTCCTCCACCCTATACCCCTGAATCCACACCTGAACCGCCCTACATACCCCGCGCTGTTTAAAACTAAGCCTATTGCCCACTAAGATGTTGTGACTTACCGTGGGGTCCATTGGCAATTGCAGCTCCGTTGCTACTGCTCCCGAGATGAAACTGTGTGTCGCCCCACTGTCCACCAACACCACCACCTCTCGACCACCAATTCTGCCTTGCAGCTTTAGCGTATTGGAGGACGACATACCGCACAAGGAGTTCAGGGACAGATCCACCTTGTCATCCAGACTCCCGTTGTCCAACTCCTCCTCCCGAGGTTGCTCCTGAATGGTGCCCTCCTCCTCCTCGGACGTCCCATCCGTGTCAGCCAAGATCAGCACCTGTAGTTGCCTGTTCTTGCAACGGTGACCCAGGCTGAACTTTTCGTCGCACTTGAAACACAAGCCCCGAGCTCGTCGCTGCTGGATCTCCTTCTCAGTGAGGCGGCGGGATGTCAAAGCTCCCCCCAACCCTGACCTCTGCCCTACTCCCATCCCACTTCGTAATCCTTGAACTCCCACCGCTTCATTTGGGCCCTTGGATCGAAGAGGGCTCTCCTGGGAGGGCAGAGAATGATTCGAGCCCTGAAATGGTCCCCCAACTCGTTCCCAAGCATCAGTCCTGAGCCCACGACCCGCCTGATACCTCCTAACTCTCTCTGCTGCTTCGTTGCGGGCCTCTACTTGCTGGGCCAAGTCCATCATATCATGTAGACTAACGGGCCTGTGCATTTTCAACTCAGCCGAATGTCCTCCCTCAGCCCATGAAGGAAAGCCCCTCTAAAGATGGCATCGGGCACTCCCCGCATCTGGGCTGCCGTTCCCTCAAACTCGTCCCGGTAGTCAGCTGCCGTTCCACGCTGCCGGAGTGCCATGAGTTGCTCCACTGGATCCACCTCTCTTCCCCGACCAAATCTCCGTAGCACCGCCGCCCGTAGTTCCCTCCACGATCCGAAAGGATCTTGGGCGTCGGCCCTTTGGAACCAACCCAATGCTCTCCCCTCCATGCGCACCGACGCCACCACCACTTGCTCATCCTCCTCGACATTATTGACGGCGAAATACCGGTCAGCCTGGAATACCCATCCCTGGGGATCCTCACCGTTAAATATAGGTAACTCTAACCTCCGCCCTCGGTGCTCCACTCGTCCCCTGGGCCCGGGGGCGAATCCCGCCGCCACTCGTGCCCGACACGCCGCGGTTCCTCCTCGCGTGGGACTGGGGGTGGTGAAACCAGCCGTACGTGTGGGACCAGCCGCTGCCCCTCCTGCATCCTTGGCGGAGCCGCCTCAAATCGTGGGGGAGGTGGTGGATTTCTCTCGAAGAACTCCGCCTGCCTGAGGAGCATAGCTTCCAGTCGTCGTACCGACCTTTGCACGTCATCCAGCTGAGCTCCCATCTCCGTTACGTCCTCCTGCAACTTAGGCAGCGGTTCGGTCAAGGCTTCAATGATCTGTAATGCCTCGTAAAAGGCATCCATCCTCTGTTCCAGCCGTGTTACCTCCTCCGGCTAGGGTCGCGCACCGGAGTTCTCTCCCATGGATCGTCACGTCTCTGATACCAAAATGTTAGGATCCCCTCTTCCCTAGCCAGCACAAACATAGATTCAAGAAGAATTGCCTGAAAAAGGGTCAAGTTACTTTTATTTATTCAATCTTCTGTCTCTCCGAAGAGAGGAAATTAAAGCAATGGAAATAAGAACAAAGGAAAAACTAGAACAATGGAGAATTCGAGGTTCTCCTTCCTCCCAAGATCTGATAACTGAATTCTCAATTCCCAGACCCCTCTCACGTTCCCCCCCCAGCTAACAAATTCCTAACCAACTTGCCATATCAGCTCTCCTTTCCCATATTTCCATTTCCTACCCCCTTGTCTTGTACAATTGCTCCACGCCCCTTCCTCCGAGAGTAAACCAACGTAACAGGGGGCCTAACAGTCACTTCCCAAACCTTTTGGTTTTACTTGATGATGCAGTGCACATGTGTCTTTCCCGTACTCTTCCATGCTACATCACTTGAACTATAATTTTAGTCCTATTACCATTGATTTATCTTCTCTTTTTTTTTTTTTGAAATCTTTTACTCTAATGCCAAATCATATCGTCCCTTAAGATTCCTTGAGTAGTACTGGGCAAATTGGCTGAAATCTAAACTCTCAGATGTATTTTGCATTTACCTTAAGTAACTGTAAATGTAAGACAACTCTATGACATGCTGAAGCCTGCTTGATCGCTTCTTTTTATAGGATGTCTTCAATCGATTGATTTATACATGACTGGAGATGTTTACAGGTCTCCTCATATGTTCATTGCAGAGAGTGCCGGTCATTCATCTTTTCGATGCCAGGTTTAAAGAGCATGAAGGCAATGTAACCGGTGCCCGTTCAGCACTTGTTCAGTGTGATGCTGAGTTGGATGTGAATTTTGTAGCGAATATAGTATTAAAGGCTAACATGGAAAAGCGTCTGGTACATCATTTCTGTCATCAGATAAAATGAATAATCAGCTTTATGCATTATGTAGATAATCACCGATATATTGAATTTCTGATATTGTCAGGGAAATTTTGTGGCAGCTTCAAATATATTTGAAGAAGCACTTGCAATGGCTGCAGAGAAGAAAAAGTTGCATACTCTTCGTATTATATATGTCCATTTTTCTCGACTTAAACACATGGTTAGTAAACGTAGTTTTTTTTTTTTTTTTTTTTTTTTTTTCCCTTCCTCTTCTTCTTCTTCTGTAAATCCTTTAGGGCTTGCACAACCTACTTTTCTGGAAGGGTTTTAGCAATTCTTTCGTGTATCTTTGTTTGCTAGGTTTAGGTTTTAGTTGTATAATTGATGTCTAATATTATATGTCTATTTCAAAAATTTTTACATTTTCCAATATTATACTTCACCATGCTTCTACAAAATTTGTCTTTCTGCCTCCCCATCAAAAAAAAAAAAAAAAAAAAAAAAAAAAACCAAAAAAAAAAAAAAAAAAAAAAAAAAAAACCAACTTAACAAAAGCGAAAACAAAAAAGAAAAAGAAAAAGAAAACATGAAAAAAAATAAATACATAAAGTAAAGAGGAAAAAGGCTAATATCCAAAATTGACAAATTTTAAGTTTTAATACATGGCTGTACAATCTTGCTTTTGAGTTTGAGACTGATAAATCTGTAAAACAACTAAATCTCATTCAAGTCTTATCTTGTGATAAAATCATATGCATTTCCTGTGTAGCATTCTTATCTGGTAAGTGTTCATAAACCCGAACAACCCGCAAACCCAACCCACCCCGCCCCAACCCAAGCCGAAAAAAATAACCCGCAGCATTATTTTTAAATTTGCGGCTCATTATACCTCTGGCTCGAAGTGTTTGGGACGGATTGCGGGTTGGGCCCATAACAACCCGCAATCCCCAACCCAACCT